ACCTCCAGAACGAATTAAGTACTTAACCTGAGGTACCACTGTATAGGTTTTGTTGCTGTTATTTTTATTTTGTTGTTCCTGTTTCTACCCTGCCTTTTCCCCAGACCAGGACTCAAGGCAGCTGACACAAATTTGCCTGGCTAAAATAAGGAAAGCAAAAAAAACCATATAAGGGATATTTGTTAAAAAGCAAACTTAAATATAATCAAAACAATTTTTTTTTTAAAACAAAACAAAACCCAGATCTATTAAAATACAGATAATACAGACTGTAGTTCCACTTTGATATTCTGGGTCTTGTCTATGCTGTCGCTTCTAGAGGCTGTTGCTGCTTTTTGTTCTGCTCTAGACCATGATCCCTGTAACACAGCCAATTCTGTTCAACTCTTCCACAGCCTGCAATGAAGTTGTTGGGGTGGGGGTACGCAAATTCGTATAGTGCGCCTGGGCCCTAAATCCTTTAAGCACTGCCTTAGCAACATCCTTCTCCCTCCCCTGGATGGTAGCTGCACTGGCTTCACAGCCCATCTCTCCAGACAGGGGGGTCTACTCTGAGGAAGACCCTCCTTGGACACAACCCTTTCCTTGCCCATGGAAATTTGGCGGCAGGGAGGAGCTCATCTGGGTGAGTTAATATGTCTGCCTGAGTCGTAATCAGAATTAATAAAATGGCTATTAAAAAACCCCAGGCTGTCGTTTTGATTTTAAGAGCTGTCTGTTGACTTGTTTGGGTGTTTTGGCTCGCCGAAAGGTTAGCAATCTGTTCTGCTTACCAGAATCTGCAAGTGATGTCAAAAATGGTTACAAAATAGGCTTGGTGATGTCATTTATCGGACACCAATGGAAAATATTCTGTCAAACCTCAACTTTAACCTGCTTTGCATGTCTCAATTCTACATATTTCTTTGTTTCTCCAAGGCAAAGAAATCGACATTTCAGTCAACTGGCTGAATTTATGCCTTTTTAATACATTCTTATAAATGCCAGCGAAAGAGGTCTGCATGGTTTTACATTTACAGTAAATATGAGGTCAGGGACTGAATTTGTTCTGTCTGACGTTTGTCCTTCCAGCCCCCAATGGAGATCGGAGACAGATAGTCTCTGCCGGACAGTTCCTGGAGTAAAGTAATCATAGAAGCATCAAAAACTGCCTTATACTTAGTCAGACTATTTCTCCATCTCTAGCCCCAAGACTGAGAGAAAGGTAAATGTTCCCTCAAGTCTTCATAAAGCTCAATTTGACTTCAATTCCAGGGAAGATACAAGATTATAAAGGAGTCGCTTTGGAGGAAGCAGTTTTAATAAGCAGTTTCTATGATATAAGCAGTAGAAACCAGCATGGGTTAGTTGATTGCGAATCCTACCAAACTTGTCTTATCTCGTTTTTTGGTTGGGTTGCTAGCTTAGTGGATCATGGGAATGCTGCAGACATAATTTAACTAGTAAAGGTAAAGGTAAAGGGACCCCTGACCATTGGGTCCAGTCATGGCCGACTCTGGGGTTGCGGCGCTCATCTCGCTTTATTGGCCGAGGGAGCCGGCGTACAGCTTCCGGGTCATGTGGCCAGCATGACTAAGCCGCTTCTGGTGAACCAGAGCAGCGCACGGAAACGCCGTTTACCTTCCCGCCGGAGCGGTACCTATTTATCTACTTGTACTTTGAGGTGCTTTTGAACTGCTTAGGTAGGCAGGAGCAGGGACTGAGCAATGGGAGCTCACCCCGTCGCGGGGATTCGAACCGCCAACCTTCTGATCAGCAAGTCCTAGACTGTGGTTTAACCCACAGCGCCACCCGCGTCCCATAATTTAACTAGGTTTCAGCAAAGCATTTCACAACATCACCCGTGATGTTTCAGTTAGTAAAACAGGTTGAACATGGGGTAGATAATTTAAAAAATCTGTAGGATGCAGATTGGTTGGAAAACTGAACAAAAATTTGACATGATGTGACATCATTTTAAAGATACATGGCATGGCATTCCTGGGCAAATGATTCTATTGCCCCACTCTCGTTATTGCTTAAGTCACCTGTCTCAGTCTGCTGGTAGGATCAGCTTTCCTGAGGCACTTTTGCCACCGCCAGCCTGTCACTGTCTTTGGGTGAGATTCAATCACATACCGGGAAATTCAGGTTGTGCAATTAAGTGTCTTGCGCAACAAACCTGCTTCCAGAAAAGATTGGGATTTTTGTGTGTGTGTGATAAGGAAAGTGAGGGTGAAACGCACTGGAAAGTGTGAAGCAACACCTGCTTAGACACAGCATCATCTAACCTCCCTGCTCACGTATCAGAGTGAACGCTCATTCAATCGCTGGCATGTTCTAAGCTTCCTGCAGACAAATCTGAATCTTTCTTTTCTTTTTCTAATAATTTTTAAATTTGATTTTCAGAAAGAAAAAAGGAGAAGAAGGGGGGGAGAGAAACAAGAATAAATAGTGACAAGGTTACATCCAAATATCTTACACATTCACGTATCGAGATGACGCTGAATCTCCTGACTTCCCTCCATCCCATCCATGGGTCCTCTTAATTCTGTTTTCACCTGCATATCAATACTTCTCCAAAATTTTCATCTTCCTAAATTATCTGTAGTTTCTATTACATTACAAGTGCATTTGAAACCCTGCTAATGTTTTAACCTGTTTGCAATGATTTTGTATATACATTATAAACATTTCCCATTCTTTTTTAAATTTCTTGTCTTCTTGGTTCCTGATCTTCCCAGTTAATTTTGCCGTTTTGGCCTACTCCATCGGCTTGATCTGCCATTCTTCTTTGGTCGGGGTTGACTCTTCCTTCCATCTCTGGGTCCGGGCGGCCATTGTAGCATACATAAAGGGTTTCTTCTGCTCTTTTGGGATTTCGGTACCTATAATCCCTAATAAGAAAGCTTCTGGTTTTTTAACAAAAGTTAATTTAAACTTTTTTTTATTTCATTATAGATCATTTCCCAGAATTTTTTAATTACATTACAGTTCCACCACATATGATAAAAGGTACCCTCTTTTTCTTTACATTTCCAGCATATATTGGTGCTTGTTCTATACATTTTTGCTAGTTTTACTGGGGTTAAGTACCACTGATACATCATTTTCATATACAGTCATACCTCGGGTTACAGATGCTTCATGTTGCGTTTTTTCAGGTTACGGACCCGCCAAAACCCGTAAGTACCGGAACGGGTTACTTCCAGGTTTCGGGGGTCGCGCATGCGCAGAAACGCTAAATTGCGCTTTGCACATGCGCAGAAGCACCGAATCGCAACCCGTGCATGTGCAGATGCACCGCTGCGGGTTGCGAACACTGTGGGTTGTGAATGTGCATCCCGCATGGATCACGTTCGCAACCCGAGCGTCCACTGTAGTTTTCTTTCAATGAAGAACATGCCGTAAAGTTCAGATCGGTTTTCGATAGCCTCTCCCAATCCGCCATTTGTATGTTATGTCCATAGCTGTCAACTTTTCCCTTTTCTTACGAGGAATCCTATTCGGAATAAGGGAATTTCCCTTAAAAAAAAGGGGAAGCTATATGGAACTGGCTGAGATGACCGGCAGAATTCGAGACCAGGGAGAAGGGTCGATGGAAGAAGACTGGAAAAAAATTAAAATATATCTTCAAAAATACTGCAATATAAAAGAATGTTAGAAAGAGGTTGGAAAAAGAATATTAGGTCGTTTTGGCAGATATGATATAATGGACTAAGTAAAAATGAGGTATGGAAATTGATGAAATAGAGGAGGATTAATTACATTATTTTAATGTTAAAATATGTAAATGAAAAGAAGGTTAGAAGGATTTGCTGGAAATACGATTTGAACTAGAATACAAAGTTGGGAGGTGAGAGGAGGTCATGGAAATAAGTAAAGGGAAAAAGGCTAAGTAAAGGTTTAATCTGTTTTTTGTCTTATTTCAATTCAATGCATTTTTATATTTTTTGTTAAGTCTTTTTTATATTCTATTTTATTGTCTTTTTGTTATTTGCTCATTTTATGTTTTGTTATGGTTAAAGTTCTTTCTGTATTTTGTATGGTTTTTCTTTTTCTTTTTTGTAATCTTAAATTTGGAATAAATATCATTTATAAAAAAAATAAAATAAAAAAAGGGGAAGCGTTGACAGCTATGGTTATGTCCCACATCTTTCGCCCATTGCCTTCCAGAAAGCTTTCTCTGCCTACCAGGGTTCACTCCAAAACCTGAGAAGCAGGGAGCTTGCCTAACCATGTTCACACATCTAGATAAGCCCTGGGTTCCTTTGCCAGGGGCCTCACTGGGGCAGCTATGCTCCCAGCCAATGGTTCTTTCCCACCGCCGGGAGGAAAGAGAGACCCAAGGCATCCACTGCCTAAAATTTAATAGTAGAGGAAGACAGAGAGGAACGACCAGGATGACAAGGAGCAAGCACAAGCAAATGCAGTTTTTGCAGATGGAGACTTCTATTTCTATTGGAGGGAGGAGAGTCACAACTCACTGGCAAAGGACATGTTTTGCACCCCCAGGTTTAAAATGCCTGGCAGCCGCAGCCGAGAGAGAGATGAAAAGCAGCAGATCTGTGGAAGACCCTCTGCTGGAGACCTTTGGGAGTCGTTGACAGGGGGAATAACAGGCAGCCCAGGAGTACAGACAGTGGTACAGGGAGGTCGGAATGAAGTCAAAGATTTAATCTCCTGGGACAGTTTCTACCAGTTCTCTGTGTGCCAAATGCACAATCTGAGAGAAAACGCACTAAATGAGCTAAACGGAGAAAGAGCTAGCACATGGTTAAGGCTTCAACTCCAACTTTTGTATTGAAAAAAATTCCCAAAGTCCCTTCCCAACTCAAATGTCACAAAACAGGGAGCAAGTCTTTGAGTCCAGAAAACTTATTCATCGGCAAAGTAGAAGTAGTAGGGGGCCGAGAAGGGGGTGGGATCTGCCTTGGTATTGATTTCATAGAATCATAGAATTATAAAGTTGGAAGGGACCCAAGGGTCATCTAGTCCAACCCCCTGCAATGCAGGAATCTTTCACCCAACGTGGAACTTGAACCCACAGCCCTGAGATGAAGAGTCTCATGCTTTACCAGTTTGAAGCCAGAATGTCTGCAGTGAGCAAAAATGCAAAGCAGTCCTCTTTATTTATTTTATTTGTTTATAAAAATAATTATATACTGCTGTGTCATAAAAAATACATCACAGTGGTTTACAACAACAGTAAAATATAAAACTAAACAGCAAAATCATAAAAAGTTAAAAGTAATAATAAATAAATACATCAGTAGACCATAGTGGGCGATGTACTCTTAATTACCTTTATAGGTCTTTCAGAATAGAAAAGTTTTCGGCGTGTGTTTAAAAGTTGCCACAGAAGGCTCCTGCTGAATCTCTAGTGGCAGAGAGTTCCACAGGACTGGGCCAATGACTCTAGAGGCTTGGTTTAGTGTAATAATAATAATAATAATAATAATAATAATAATAATAAATTTTATTTATATCCCGCCCTCCCCAGCCAAAGCCAGGCTCAGGGCGGCTAACAACAATCAAATAATCAAACAATCAAATAATCCAACATTCTAAAACATTTCATTATAAAAATTAATTAAAATCAAATTAATGGCAACCGTTAAGCAAAGTTCTGTGCAGGTTGCCAGAGGAGGGAGTCAGGCTGGGCCCTGACCAAAGGCCTGGTGGAACAACTCTGTCTTGCAGGCCTTGCGGAAAGATGTCAGGTCCCGCAGGGCCCTAGTCTCTTGTGACAGAGCGTTCCACCAGATTGGAGCCGCAGCCGAGAAAGCCCTGGCTCTAGTTGAGGCCAGCCTAACCTCTCTGGGGCCTGGGACCTTCAGGATGTTTTTATTTGCAGACCGTAGGTTCCTCTGTGGGGCATACCAGGAGAGGCGGTCCCGTAGGTACGAGGGTCCTAGGCCGTATAGGGCTTTAAAGGTTAAAACCAGCACCTTAAACCTGATCCTGTACTCCACCAGGAGCCAGTGCAGCTGGTAAAGTACCGGATGAATGTGATCTCGCAGCGAAGACCCCATAAGGAGCCTCGCCGCGGCATTCTGCACCCGCTGGAGTTTCTGGGTCAGTCTCAAGGGCAGCCCCACGTAGAGCGAGTTACAATAATCCAGTCTGGAGGTGACCGTCGCGTGGATCACAGTGGCTAGGTCAGGGCGAGAGAGATAAGGGGCCAACTGCTTAGCTTGGCGGAGATGAAAAATGCCGCCTTTGTTATAGCTGTCATCTGCGCCTCCATAGAGAGGGAGGTATCGAAGATTACACCCAAACTCTTAACGGACGGTGCTGGCACTAATTGCACCCCCGCAAGAGATGGGAGTTGCCCCCCCAATCCCATATCGTCCCGTCCCTGTTGCTGAACGAGTCTCACCAGCTCAGAAGCACTCCTACAGAAGATCTCAGTGATCAAGCTGGGATACAAGAGGTATGGCTGTCATAAAAATAATAAAACACCTGCGGGTCAGGATTTACCATTGCAACGCTGAGGGTTAGTGGGCGGAGGAAGCTCTGTCTCCAGAGCAGGGGGTTGGACTAGATGACCCTTGTGGTCCTTCCTAGTCCACAATTCTGTGATTCTAGGAAAGCAACGTCTTATGTTCATGGTTTCATGTGCTTGTTTTTTCTTTTCCTACGAAAATGTCCCATTTTTCTTTCTCTCCACGTGGTCCTGCAAGCACCTTCACTTCTTTGGGGTTCACTTCTAGCTCCACCTTTCTAAAGAGAGATCCCCCAAATTAAGACTTCAGTAGTATTCAAAGGGACTCAGGCTATGGGCCGTCCAAACTTCAGTTTTGTACTGAATGTCAGAGCAGCGCAAACATTTCCCTTTGAGCCGCCCTGTTGAGAGAGAATGAGAGAGAGACCTACAAACGTTTCCCTTTCAAAATGTTTCTGAGCTTCTTGGGATACGCATACCTAAACTCTGCTTTCTGGCTAATATAACCATTTGAGATACATCTGGAGTTCCCTGATTTGGGGAGAAAGTGTACAGAAGTTGTCTGTTTCCCTGCCTAATCATCACAACTGTTCATCTTTCAGTAAGGTGGGGCAGGATCTGTCCTTTTTATTCTCATTCTTGGATGAAGACCTTTTAGTAATTTTTCTTCTAATCAGGCTTTATTCTGTGAATTCAGTTTTGAATGACTGACAGGTCTTTTATATATTTGCAAGCTGCCTTTAAAAAAAAGAGTAAGTAATGAATAAACACAAATAGTGATGATTGTGCCCTGGCGTGCTCTGGTCCGTGGGGTCACGAAGAGTTGGACACGACTAAACGATTAAACAACAAAACAACAAGTGATGATTGTGCTGGTGGCTTTGTACCAAATTCAAGGGTTCTGGTTCTGAATGAACCTAACATTTTGGTTCTCCTAACATTGACACCCAACTGTCTCATGAGACAATGGAAGAAGACGCCTCTGGAGGCAAAATCAAACTATTTGAGAGTTACAGCGCCTGCTGTGGCCGTAGAGACCGATGTGGGAGAGACATGTTTTGTTGCAGCTGAGGCAGAGGAAGGCGTCCGCTTGTGCTGCTGCAGATGCACATGGGCTTTTCTTCTCTCTGCGATTCCTCCCAGCGGTCATTCCTCCTCTGGTCACAGCTATGGATGCACAACCTGTTACAGGTAGGTAGCCATGTTGGTCTGCCGTAGTCGAAACAAAATAAAAAAATTCCTTCTAGTAGCACCTTAGACATGCACACGAAAGCTCTTACCAATAACTAACTAGTTGTTGTTTAGTCGTTTAGTCGTGTCCGACTCTTCATGACCCCCTGGACCAGAGCACGCCAGGCACTCCTGTCTTCCACTGCCTCCCACAGTTTGGTCAGACTCATGTTGGTAGCTTCCAGAACACTGTCCCACCATCTTGTCCTCTGTCGTCCCCTTCTCCTTGTGCCCTCCATCTTTCCCAACATCAGGGTCTTTTCCAGGGAGTCTTCTCTTCTCAGGAGGTGGCCAAAGTATTGGAGCCTCAGCTTCAGGATCTGTCCTTCCAGTGAGCACTCAGGGCTGATTTCCTTAAGAATGGAGAGGTTTGATCTTCTTGCAGTCCGTGGGACTCTCAAGAGTCTCCTCCAGCACCATAATTCAAAAGCATCAATTCTTCGGCGATCAGCCTTCTTTATGGTCCAGCTCTCACTTCCATAACTAACTTAGTTGGTCTCTAAGGTGCTACTGGAAGGATTCTTTTTTTATTATTTTGTCTGTCTCTAGGCACTGTGGACACCTGCAAGTTTGCAGACATCTCATGTTTGCAGACATCTTTGTACTGCAGAGTTGGTCTGCCAATGGGTCTTATAGTCATACACCCTAAAAGACACACACAGAGAATCTGCAGTCTTGTTTTGTCAGATAAAGTGGACTCCAAGGTGACAAGGTCCGGCAGAATAAAGGGCGGGGAAATCAGGTATCATTCTAAGTGCAGGTAAAGGGACGTGAAGAGGTGGGGGAAGATGCCAAAGCAGTGGGTGATTTCAATTGATGAGCAAATGAAATGACAACATTGGTTGCTTGTTTTCCTCTGCCCTCCCCATCCCGTTTTCCTCTAATGTTGCAAATCCTCTTTGATTCTGCTGCGCATTTTAGGCGATGGCTAAAGTCTCAAACCAGCTTATAACGGAACCTTTTAAGTGTGTGTTAATTCTGATGGGGAGAGGTGGTGTCTTTATGTGAGGGGCTGGAAGGGGTCCTGCCGGGAGAGCAAAGTGGGGAGTGGAAATCAAGCAGCAGCTCCGTGGCAGCAGCGACTGATCCTCCCCATAGCAGTCATGAAATGGGACAATTCGGATCACGGCCAGAAGAGACCCAGAGGAAGGGGTTGGATCCTCAACCCCCTGCAGCCCTAACCCAAATCTGGGGAGAGTGTAGCAAGAAGAACATGACAATGGGAGTGTCAACCCCAGACATATAGTTATGCTATTGTATCTGTGGAGGAGGGAGAGATCGTCTAAACCCCTCTCCCACCACTGGGTGTGGACACACAGGCACAGAAATGCCACAAGACTCTCATACCTCACTCTCCTAAATATAGGAGAGATGATAGAGGATAGATGATAGATAGATAGATAGATATAGATAGATAGATAGATAGATAGATAGATAGATGATAGATAGACCAAGCCATACATGCGTGTGCATGTGTGTATGTACACAATCAGGCGTGGAAATCCAACACCAGCTCCCCGAGCATTGGTACGTGGGCTTGCTTGTTAGATACACACGGCTGCTGCTTGCCTTCTTGCTTGCTTGCGTACCTAACTTTGCATGCTGAGTTTCGGCTGCCAGGTCTTCAAGAACCTGCCCGTCTCACGCGTCTCTCGCGCGGGAGGCTTTTCGCGGGTGAAGTCCCAGCCTCGCCAGCTCTTTCTCGGTTAGCAGCGGAGGGGGATCTCACCGCCTTCTCTCCCGGATCCCCGAGGGGGCAATCCAAGCTGCCGCCTTCGGAGCCCAAGCGTCCAAAGCGACAGTTCTAGCTGACAAATTACGCCGCCCCGAGACTCCGTTTCAAAATGGTTCATCCGTGGGCTTTCAGACGAAAGGTCTGAAGAGAAGAACTTTGTGCACGCTTCAGCCTGATGTGTGTTGGGGTGTGTCCCATCCTCCTAAATCTAAAAATCAAACAACCCTCCCCCCCTCACTTAAATCAACCCCCACCAATGTGTTCTCCGGAGGTAGGAAGCAGCGGTGTTATTTGGGGAGAGACACGTGTACGCGTGTGATTATGACACGTGTCTGTGAGAGAGATTACAAGTTTGCACTAGTCTGTGCGGGGTCTTCGGTGCTGATCTCCCACCCGTTGCAAGCCTACAGGTGCTGGTTGGGGGGGCGGACATAAGGCATCTCTGAAGAGCGCCCCCCCTCACCACGACGCGCCCGCCTGCTCCCTAAAGTCCCCCTCGCGCGTGGCCGTTTCACCTCCACGACTCGTATTCCATGCACACAAACACCCGTCCATTCTATTCACGCGCGGCAGGTTAGTAACCCAAAGGCTTTCCCTCCAGCGAGAATCGCCGTGCGCCCCATCGAGTGAGAAGCGCGAAATCCACCTCCGGGATCGCGGCTTCTCTTTCACCTCCCCCCCCCCCCCGCGCGCGCGTGCGAGTGAGGCGGAGGATGACATCACCCCGCAGGTTGGTTATAAAGGGCCGAGGGCCATCCCGGCGCTACAATCGGTTCTGGCCGTCGAAGGAGAGAGAGAGAGGTTGATCTGCAGACGCGCCGCCCTCCGACACAGACTGCAGCCTGCGCGCCTCGCCGGCCGTCGATCCTCCGCCGCTGCGCTCGCCTTGCCGTCGAGGGGACTCCCGTCCCGCCGCCCTCTCCCGAGTCTCCTTCCCGCGCTCTTCTGCTCCTTCCCCTTCTTCCCTTCTCTTCTCCCGACACCCGGTCCAGGATGTACATCTCTCACGTCGTGGCTTGCGGACTCTTCCTCGCCCTGCTCGCCCTGGCGCTGGAGGCGAAGCCGGCTCCCCAGAACCTGCAGAAGGTAAGGCGGCGCGGGGAGATTCGACGGGAAAGGTCCCGGGCTGCCTCTTCGTCGGGGGCGATCCCTGGAAGCTTCGGGACTGGGAGGGAAAGGATAGACGGACGGGTAGATTCGGGATGAGGTGAGGAGAGGTGGCTGGAAAGGAACAGAAGCGAGGTCTGCCGGAGTCCTCACAGAAACCTTAATCCGGATTAAGTTGCCCCGCTTTCTGGGGTGGTTGGCTGAAAGAGTGGCTGTCGTCTCCTGCCTTAAAGCCGGTTGACGGGTAGAGCTGACGTCCGGATAACTTTCTGGAGTCAGCGGGCGCGCTCTTGCCTGGGCTGTAGAAGCGGGATCCCTCTCGCCCGCGTACCCCTGCCTCTTGCATCCCCGACGGGGCGGACGGTCCAGCCCGGGGTGGCTTCTGCTGGGAGTGGGGCAGGAAGGGCTGAATGAGAGGGACGCCCCTCACTCTCTCCGCCATCCTCCTTTCAGGCCGGGTAGGTGGGTCGGCGACTCCAGCTGCCGCCGGCTGCTCTCCATCGCCCCGTGGTGCTGAGAGGGAGAGGGGAGGGCGCCCAGGCAAGCGGCGACGGGGCGGCTTCCGAGCTCCGTGCCCGCGGAGAGGAGCCTCTCCTTGGGGTGAGGCGCTAGGGAAATAGAGCGGAAGATTCGACACCCCCTAGAAGGAGAAGCAGACGGGGCGGGGAGCTGGGAGACCCACGGGCGCCCGCGCGCGCCTTCGGAGGGGAAGCGCTGAAGGCGGACCAAAGGTGGGTGTTTTGTGGAGATCTGAGGGCTGATAGTGGAAACGGGGAGGGGTCCTTGTCCCTGGCGGAGGAGAGAGAAAAGGAAGGGGGAGCTTTCCTGGAGGAGACCCCCAGTTCTCTTCACCGGCCAAGCAGGCGCTGAGATTCCTGCATCGCTGGGGGTTGGACTGGATGACCCTCGGGGTCCCTTCCAACTCTACGATTCCATGAACCATTCTCCCAAGTGAAACTCTAGGCTACTTTGTATCGGGTCGGGGAGGTCTGATCTGGGGAGATCTGATCCCAAGAAAAACCTCTTCTTACCGGCATTTCCTCCTCGCCCCTCCAGCCCCCTCCCACTCCGCGTGGTCGTTTCTCTTTCTTCTCTCCGAATAAACTTGTGACCCGGACAGTCCTCTTGGCCTGTGGCTGAGGTGGCGAGGTGGGCTTGACAAATGGGCAGGACGGCCGGATGCCACCTGCCCAATTCACCGCCCCCGCCAGTCCTCCCAGTCCCCAGGACGGGGGATATTCCTCGAGGGGACTCCCTGGGGTGGCAGGAATCTCCTCCTGTTGGGGTGCGCAAGTGCGTCCTGATGGGAGCCCCGTTCTCACCCGCACCGACCCGGCCCTCCTCCTCCTGCCATCGCTCTCCCCGCAGCCCGAGGTTCCTCGAGGGGGCGGCCAGGCTGAGCCGAGTGGAGAAACCATCTGGGCTGTTATTTCCTCCTGCTGCAGTGGGGCCGCCCTGCCCCTCCTTCCCTCCACTTGCGCCCCCATCCAGCACCCCGCTAACCCCTCTATCTCGCTTCCTCCGCTCAGGGTCCGTCGGGCAGCTTGGCGGCGCTGGGGCGCGAACTGGCGGAGCTGCTAGAGGCGTCGTCGGGGCCCGCGGCGGGCGGTGCGCGGAGCGGCGGAGGAAAGCAGGGCTCCTCGTCGCAGCAGAAGGGCAAAGGCTCGTCGTCGTCGAGGCTCATGCGGGACCTGCGCACCGACACCAAGCAGTCGCGGGCCACCTGGGCGCGGGGGGCGCACCCGGAGCACCACGCCGGCGGAGGAGGAGGAGGCGGCGGCGGAGGGTCGCGGCGCTTCAAAAGCCCCTCCAAGAAGGGCTCCACCAAGAACTGCTTCGGCCTCAAGCTGGACCGCATCGGCACCATTAGCGGCCTGGGCTGCTGAGCCGTCGAGGGCGGCCTGCGGGCGACACCTAGCGGCGGTGAGTAGACAGCGCGCGCTGCCGTCCATCCCAAGCCCAGACGGCGCTGGTTTTAACGCTAGCGCAAAAGTGAGAGCGCTCTAACCTTCAGCGCCTGAAACCCCCTCCTTGTCTGTCTGTCTGTCTGTCTGTCTGTGCGTTTCACTTGTACCCCACCTTTTCCTCCCAGTAGCTCGAGGGGGCGCACGTGGTTCTCACCTTCCTTCTTCACGCAGCAGCCCGTAGTTAATCTACAGAACTCCTTCCCACAGGAGGCAGTGATATCAGAGGAGAATTTAGAGCAGCACTCCCAGCTCTGCCACACTGGGCACGGAGCCCTGGTGATATGGGGGTCTTTGCCCCTCCCCTAAAATATTTGAGTGGACCAGGCTGCCCCTAAGTTGAAGGGCATCGTCATTCGAATGGTGCGCACACACTGCGTCATGTGATCAGTTCTGCGCAGCGGGGCTTCCCTGTCCCCCCCTCAATATTTTATTCAAGTTGGCACCCCTGGCACGGAACCTCAGGCATGGCAATGCGCAGGGCGCCGCTGAAATTTGAGAGGTCTGCCATTGGCAGTGGCCACCAACTGGGGCAGACTCTTTGGTCATCTTTCCTAATATAGCGCCCTGTGCGAGGCCAACATTTGGCACCCCCAAACTGATCTTCTCAGCTAGGGATCTTCTCAATTGGTTGCCCCCTTCACTCCGTGCCCTGTGCAGCAGAACTGCCCACACAGCCCTCAATCTGGTGCTGGCACCAACCTAAATGTGAGAGAGGGTTGGACAATTTCATGAGGAGAGGGCTATTGAGAGCTACTAGCCACAATGGTTATGTGCTGCCTCCAAGTTCAGAGGCAGAAATGCTACCAAATACCAATTGCTGGAAACCACAGCAAGGGAGCGTTTCCCTTGTGCTTGAATCCAGACAAACTATTCTTTGAAAGCACTGCTGCCTGCAGCTGTGGAGGGAGAGCCTAGTCGCCCTGGCTAGTCGCCCTTGATGGCCCTCTAGTGAGGTAGGAGAGCTGGAAATAATGCCCATCTATTTCACATCTGGCAACCAATGTGCCTCTTTGGTTTCAGACAGCACATGGGTAGAAGAGTCCAAAAAGCCTGGGACACAAATTTTCATAGCCATTTAGCAGCTATGGTGGTTCGTTGACCGGAAGTAATATATTGAAAGTTAATTCTGGAAAAAAATTCCTTCCAGTAGCATCTTGGAGACCAACTAAGTTTGTTATTGGTATGAGCTTTCATGTGCATGCACAGATACACAGAACTGTGCATGCACACGAAAGCTCATACCTGAAGAATATGTGTATCTGAAGAAGTGTGCATGCACACGAAAGCTCATAGCAATAACAAACTTAGTTGGTCTCTAAGGTGCTACTGGAAGGAATTTTTGTTTCTTTGTTTCGACTACAGCGGACCAACACGGCTACCTACCTGTAACTACCGTAATTCTGGAAGTGTTTACTTGATTCTGACCAAACTAAGCCTCCTTGGTTGCCAGATCTGTTTCCACACCCCCACCCCCAGCTCTCCCACCCCACCCGTCTCTTGCATGAATTTGCCATAAATCAAACATGCAAGTATGTGGCGCTTTTGAGTTCTCAAAGCACTTTTTATGTCCGGATAATATTGAAAACCAGCCTTTAAGTTAGGCCGGGGTTATTGTTCCCACTTTGGAGGCAGGACTGAGGCCGAAAGATAGAAGCTTAGCTAAGGCCACATAGCGGGTTCTTGGTAAATGTGAGATTCGAACAGGAGACTTCTTTTCTTTTTAAAAAGGCTTACACAATGTAGCCCCAACACTATTTCCACAAGACTGGTGCACTGTCCCCAAATCCACCCCTCTGACGTGAGTGTGTATAATAATTTGGGGCATTGAAGAAGAACATTTGTGCAAATTATTCCTTAAAGGCAAGTGCATAAATTATCTGCAGGGGTCCGAGAGGCAGACCACAAAATAACTAAATATTTTGCTCGGAGGCCGAAACAGTGAGGGTTTGGGGTGTGGAGCAGTCAGAAATGCCTCAGATCCAAAACTGGCCAGCCCCCCACATGCGCGGAGCAGGGCGCTGTTTTTCCTGAAGACAGCCCTCAGATTTGGCTCACACCTGCTTCCTCTCAAATTAGGCGCTGCGAATAATTATAGTTATTCCTATAGTTAGGCCTTCAAACAATCCAAAGGGTATTTTTTGGGGAGGGCTCCTTATTTATTTATACATCCCCCGTGCTGCCTTGCAGAGAGCCTCCTGCCTGCTGCCGGCATAGCAAAGATGGCCAAGGCACCTGCTGAGAGCCGAAAACTAAAATAGGAGGCTGGAGAGGCCCAGTTCCAGACAGCATATGGGTCAGTGTCAAGGTTGTCATACACAGTGGTGACTGGTGCCCATTGCGACCGGTAGGGCAGAAGGAAGGGAGGCTGCCAGTAGGTGGCGGCAGAGCCAACTCAGTCTGGTTGTAAGAAGGAAGATGGGCAGGTAAGGGCTGTCTGAGGGCAGAGCCCCTGGTACGTTTCCCCAACGTACCAGGCTCCCCATGTCATACAGCCGCTTCCCCAGTGAAGATCCAGCTGGGCAGAGGTTTGGAAAGGTGTCTGACGTGTGCCCACAGCTTCCCTCCGATCCAGCTGCCCATTGAAATTAATCATAGAGTTGGAAGGAACCGTGAGGGTCATCTAGTCCAACCCCCTGAAAGGAATATTTTGCCCAGCATGGGGCTCAAACCCAAGACCCTGAGGTTAAGCAACTCATGCCCAACCAACTGAGCTAAACTCCGTGTAGAAACTGCTTGCCCTCTCACCCTCTTTTAAAGCTACCTGGGTCGGTGGCTTCCAGTGGCAGGGAGTTCCATTGTTTAACTACACACTCAGAACATTTGTTTGCACCGAGGATGCTAGATTTCCCTCTGAACTTCTTGCACAGGCTATTTGTGTGGCCTTGGGAATGCTGTTCACGGGGCACAGGAAGCGAAGTTTTAGCAGAGCTGTTTTAAACCGGGGTGTTCACTGTTAGCGGACGGAGCTCTGAAGCCTTGAAGCCATGTGAGGTGGGGGTCTCTGAAGAGGGGGGGGGAACCAACTGTAGCGGAGGGGCCCACTACAATTCACTGCAAAGTTTAGTGCAGACCCCCTTTGAAACGAGCTGGAGCTGATCTGCAGGAGAGACTAGCAGGTCGTGGGGGACACGTCCAAGTGTCTCTTGAGGTTGCCAGCTGGCCACAGGAACGTGCCAGGTTTGGGCAGATGCTCTGCCCGTAACGCTTGCAGCATCCAATCCCTGTGAAAGGGAGGGTTGCAGAAGGCGAAGGCAGTAGCAGCAGTGGCATCTATGGTGCTGAAAAGGAGGGGAATTCAGGGCCACAGTCACCACGTCTGAGAGTGGGGCTGGCGAGGCCAGGGAGCTGGCTAGTGGGGAACCACAGAATTACAGTGTTGTAAGGGATGTAAGGGATGCGGGTGGCCCTGTGGGTTAAACCACAGAGCCCAGGACTTGCTGATCAGAAGGTTGGCAGTTCGAATCCCCGCGACAGGCTGAGCTCCCGTTGCTCGGTCCCTGCTCCTGCCAACCTAGCAGTTCGAAAGCACGTCAAAGTGCAAGTAGATAAATAGGTACCGCTCCGGCAGGAAGGTAAACGGCGTTTCCGTGTGCTGCTCTGGTTCGCCAGAAGCGGCTTAGTCATGCCGGCCACATGACCTGGAAGCTGTACACCGGCTCCCTCGGCCAATAAAGCGAGATGAGCACCGCAACCCCAGAGTCGGCCATGACTGGACCTAATGGTCAGGGGTCCCTTTACCTTTAAGGGATGCAGAGGATCATCTATCCCAACAGGCAAGTGGCCCAGAGGGGCAGCCAAACAGCCCCACTTGGCTGAAAGGGTGCCACAGGCCTTGCTCTGGAGGAGCTGCTTGACCAGCCAGGCCTGCTGCATGGTCAAAACTCCCTGTCGTTTCCTCCTCTAGTTGGCAGCCCTGGTGGGGCAGTGGAGGGACAGTATGAGGAAAGTAGTGCTCATCCTGCACAGATTCTGGTTTCAGCAGCCTGCTATCTGGTAGCTTGGCAGGACCTCAGCAACATCAAGGCAAGGGTTAAAGGCCACAGGGATGCCCACCACAAAGGGGGGGTTATAGCCCAAGCCAGAGGTTCCCTCTGGAGCAGGGACTGCACAGCTGGGACTATGGGCATCCCAGCCAGTTCCTGGAGCAAGTGGTTTGATAGCTGGGTTACGTAGTAATGGACAGGAGGAACTCCCCTGCCCATCAGCGCTGCCTCCTGGCTCATTCAAAGGCCACAGCCATTGATGCCTTTGGGATAACTGGTTTTGCAGCAGTGGGGTTTTCTCCTCTTGTTACCCCAGGGAGCCTGTGGACCCAACCATCAGTGCCCAGTGCCAAAGGCGTCTCCTCGGGGAAAGCCCACGTTCCTAGGGGAACCCACCGGGGATGGATCATGGGGAGTGGCTCCACCTCCTCTTCAGAGCTGCAGAGGATTCTTAGCATAAATGGCGAGGCATCCATGCAATGGGATCCGTTGTGTACAGAGTGATCAAGCCACAACTGCTGTGCAGCCAAGAACCCCTCTGTCTGTGCTGCTGGTCCGGGAGAAGGGTGTGCAAGCAACAGGTTCCTTTCCAGCTAGGGCTGTTCGCACGACCCCTTTGAACCCAGGGCCGGGGGCAAATTCCCCTGCTCCTGCTGAGCACTGGCTGCAAACAACACCACATTGATGGTTTCCCCAGAGCTGCCCCTCTCTCCACCAGGAGCTCAGCCTCCCTCCTCCAGCCCTCTTGCGCAGATATGCATTCCCAGGCATCGGCAGCAGGTTTACTAGGAAACCGTGAAAAGCGCCCAGGCCAGGGGCTCATTATGAGGGTTCAGATGGATGGGCGAGCGGCTCTCACTTGCTCATTTCGAGAAGACAAGCGCAGCTGAGGTTGCAGATCGCCCCATGCTGTTTCGGCTGCTCCAAGTCTCTCCCCTTGCTGTGTTTTTCTTATGTAGAGACAGACACATTGAGGGGGGCGCCAGTGCATTGCCAGAGGACACAGAGCTTCAGGATGTGTGCCTATGCCAATTTATATGCTTAGGTGCCAGCTTAGACACAGTTGCTGTAAGAGACAGTGTCATCTAGTGGTTAGAGCAGGGGTCAGCAAACTTACCGCACCTCAGGCTGGTGTCTCCAGCGCTGATCATGTGGTGGGCCGGAGGGTGGGGGAGCACGTGCCCATACGCGTGCGCACACACGCTATTTCTGGTGCACTTCCAGGTCAGAGGAGCACTGGAAATAGCTTATGCACATGTGCATGGGCCTCCTCCGACCCGGATGTGCACCGGAAATAATGCTTGTGCATGTACAAATAATGCTTGCGCTTGCGCAAATAACACTTGTGCGTGTGCACAAGCTATTTCCGGTGTTCCTCTGACCCGGAAGTGGGCAGCCGTGCAGTGCAGTGCAGTGCAGTGCAGTGCCGGTAAGAGCGGGCGGCGGGGGTCACTGTGGGCCAGATAAACAAGTCCCTCGGGCCTTATCCGGCCCGCAGGCCTTAGTTTGGGGAGCCCTGGGTTAGAGCAAAAGAGGCAGTGCCACATAGTGGTTAGAATGTCGGACCGAGTCCTGGGAGAGACTGGGGTTCAAACCCCCACTTGGCCACAAAGCTCACTGGGTGACCTTGGGTGCCAGTCTCATTCTCTCAGCCTGTCCTATGCCACAGGGTTGTTGTGGGGAGAAAATATGGGAGAAGGTGGGGAGACCCATGCACACCACTTTGAGCACTTGGGCAAAAGGCTGTGATATACATGTAACAGACAGATAGATAGATATACTTCTCAGCATAGTTGGGAAGACTGAGCAGATCTTCTGGCTCAGCCTGTATCTTCTCCAACTGGCGACTTGCCCCTGCTCTCCCTTTGCAGGCTTCTTTGAATTTAACCTGGGCTTGGACTGGCCAGCCCTTCCCCAGAGAGGAAGCTTCCAAAAAGTGCAGCAAAGTAGCCGGGCTGCTTCCTTGGCTCAAAGGCAGATGATTAATCAACTTAAAGGAACATCTCTTGCGGGGCAATCCTATGGCAAGATCTGCTGGGTTAAGCAGTTTAAGATGCACTGGATATCTGACTGAGCCAAAGATAAACCAGCATAATTTGCTCATGCTCAGCAGGGGCTCAGGCTGAGGCTGGTGTTAAGTCCCCCAAAAGTGGGATGGGACCAGTGAGGGGGGAACTTAAACTGGATCTTAAACCTTCCCACTTAGCCCCACAACTTGGCAACCCAACAAAGAACCCTCCGTTTAGATGGTCAAATGTCTTTGCTATGTCTTTTCTTTGCTAAGTGTCTCAACTACTGCGATAGATATGAGTTGGTGTAATTATTGCTAATTATTCTGCTTTTATATGCAGCTGTGGGCATGTGCATGCACAGGATCGTTGTTCAATTTCTAGCCCCTAAGCATGTGAGACGCCACCTTGGTAATGGCAGGTTTAACATCTTTAGCTTGAGGGGACTTTCATTCTTATCCTTCTAATATGGTTATGTCGTGGTCTTGTACTGCTTTGATGAATGATCTATTGGGCTGCTTCCAATGTTCTCTGCCTGCTAGAATTATAATACTGCGCTTCAAAGGAGTCCCAACACAACAGCTGCACTAGCGGAAACTCCTTGCGCAACAGGTTAACACAATCTATTGTGCAGCAACGTTGCCAGCAGCCTGCACTGCGGTGTTCTGCTGGTGATAAACATTTCCCCAGTAGAGAAAGCACACCGCTAGACAGAGTTAACTTAGCGCTACCTTTTATACAAGCTCTTGTATTACCCTGCGACCTTTTCTTGATTAATACACTGTGTCCCGTTTACAGTTACATACAGATACAAAACTAGATACCATATCTTCCTGTACACAGAGAAATGTAAGGCTGTCATCACGCAGCGCCCACTGTGTACTGCTGCATCAGAAAAGCTGGATTTGCTTTCAGTCAGGGTGGGGGAAGGAAGCCAAAGAGGAGGCAGGTGGGTTCCATTCCCATTCTAAGAGAACAAGGTAGAAGTTCGTGGTGAGCTCCAGCACCTCTTTTTCTAGGAAAATAGCACTGTCTATATATATGTATAACTTACTTCTTAACCTATCTACCTAGAGATGACCTGGGAAGTTCCTAACCCATCACCTCTTTTCTCATTCCAGGTCTTTGAACTGACGAGGGTTATTCTGCATTCCATCACCCCATCCCATGGACATTTCTTGGCCATCTCCTCACCGTCATGCAGGGTCAATGTTGATGGCACCCGAAAAAGGCTTGGCTGGGCTTATCCTATTGGTACGAGGACTTGTAGCAGAACCAGCAATTTTTTGGGGGGGGTGTTAGTGGTGAGGGTGGGGTGTCCGGGGTGGGTTTGTTTTTGAAATCCAAAAGCTCTTTTCCTATCATACCCAATATATACACACACACATATATGTATCCTACACACCAACAACCCACCGACGACAAAGGACCGCTCCACGCCCAGAGACTGAGGAAGCTGTTTGTACATTCATGTCACGCATAAATGTATTTATGTTGTAAAGCTATTTATATATTGTTTATAAAGAGATATTTATAAAAATTTTATTTATGTAACTAAATGAAAAGGAGTCTAGCATTGTAACTTCTTTTCCCCATCCTAAATAGTTGGAAAATGTTGAAGGAAAAAAAAACCACCATTCCATGTACCATTTGTAACCTGTCTTTCTTTTTACTCCTCGAAGAGTTGTTGGTTTTGGAAAAAGACCTCAGCTGCTGTAAATATATTAGAATTGGTAGCTGGTAACTAAGTAAGATATCCAGTTTTCTCAGAAGTGGTGTTGATGGGAAGGGCTTTCGGTCATGGATGATTTGGGGTACTCATTTTGCTTTGGGCCTCGTCCCCGTCTGCAATTTCTACGGGCATGCAGAACATAAATGGCCCTCCAGATGTGGTTGTACTCCGGTTCCCATCATGTTGGCTGGGACTGACATGAGTTGCAGTCCAAGAGCAGTGAGAGAGTCACATGTCCGAAATGCCAGCTGCAGTGGGAGATGCCAGGGGTACGATCTGGGACCTCCTGTGTACATGGCAGGAACCAACCTCAGCCATACCTGTGGCAGGCAGGACGGTATGTTGCTGCCTCTGCTGTGGACCACACGCAGGTGAGGAACCAAAAGCAGCTCTCAATCCATCAATAAACAATATTTGAGAGCTGAAAATTGCCCAAGGAGGTGCCGCTGCCCATAATGCTATCTGCTAGGACGGGGTAGTCAACCTTTTTATACCTACCGCCCACTAATCCATCTTTCTTGATGGTAACATTTCCTTACTGCCCACCAGATGCCACAGAACCCCCTACCGCCCACCTAGAGTCCTGAGACGCCCACTAGTGGGCAGTAGGGACCAGGTTGACAACCCCTCTGCTAGGAGGTTATTGCAGCACTTCAAAATCCTGTGCTACATGTTTTGTGGTGGGACAAAAAGAAAGGAGGTGGGCAGTTTTCAGGCTTGTCAAATCTGTTTTGGGTTTCTTTACCAGAACTCCAGGATTTCCTGACCAAGGTGCTAAGGACAGATGTCAGAGAATTGGTTTTAATTGCACTCACAGTCCTGCCACACACAAAAATCCCCCCCTGCTTTGCTTCCCCCTCCCCATTTCACCAGTTGGGGGGAAGAGCCAATTTGTGGGTTTTGATGTTGTTAAAACAATTCAGTCCGAAACTCTCGCCAGTCTCCGGCAAATCACTCAAGAGATCTCACGGGAGAATAACCTGCCAAAGTGAGCCAAGGGGGTGGGAGATGATAATTTGTCTTCTGGCCGTAAAACCTGCAGTAGGTCCTGACTTGCCCTCTGCCTACCCCTAGCACATGGCAGAACTACAGTCTCCCATTGTCCAACTTCTTCTGTACATCTCTGCCTGGGCAGATGAGGTTGTCAAGAGGGTTCTTCCTTCTCCTCTGTATGAGATCTGTGGTGTTGTGAAGACAGGAGAGGGCCTTTTTGGTGGTGGCCCCCTGTATGTGGAACTCCCTCCCTCCACTGAGGCGCTTCTGGCACTACCTCTTCATAACTTTAAGCGGCTGTTAAGACACATCTTTTTTTCAGCAGGCATTGGGAGAGACCTCGTTGCTCCTGTTAGCAATTTGTTAAGTGTTTTTAATGGAGCCTTTAAAATCTTTTTGCCTGCTGCAAACTGCCCTGTGACTTGAGCAAAGTGGCATATAAATTATCTAAATAAAACTTGGGCGGCTAGATGAACAGAGAGGACAAGGCCTCCTGCACCTTTAACAGTTGCACAGAAGAGGAAATTTCTGCAAGCCTTGCTTGCAGGAAAGTTAAAAGGTGCATAAGCTCCCTCCTGCTTTGCCTGAGCTGCCAGACACTTTTCATCTGCTGGAAGAATCTCACCTGTTTCCAGCACTGGCCTCTGCAACAGGGGATTCAGCTCTGCCCATGTGATCTGGCTGGGCTGGGGAGGAGGACAGAAGACAAGCTGCGAGGCGGTGCTGGCATGTCCCTCTGTGAAAGCCGAGAAGGGGCAATGAAACAGAGGGCGCCTGGCTCCTTAGCACAGCTGGGCTCTGTCGCAAGGCACCAATGAAGCCACTGGCAGCAGTGTGGCAGAGAAGGCAGCCAGTTAACGGCAGCCGGCCGGCTGCAGCTCAGAGACCTCAATCCTGCCTTCACCAGGATTTCTGACGCCGTGCCTGGCTGCCTGCACAGGATGATGCGCAACAGGCACCTGCCAGGGACCAAATTGCAGCCCGCTCGTCTCACACAGATCCAGACACCCTGGTCTACTAGAGGGCGCAGTGTGGCTTACAGAGATTGGGAGCCTGAATGTGGGACTCCAATTCCCATCAGCCCCAGCCAGCATGACTGGCTGCCAGGGATGATGGGAGCCGTAGTCCAGCCCACACCTGGAGGACCATAGCTTTCGTGCCCCGGTTTTAAGGGGTGTGCAAAAGGCAGATGATCAACAGGTATGGGTTTCCCTCTCACGCGTCAGAAGGCTCAGTGGCAAGGAAGGCTCCACCTGTGGAGCAACAAATGTCAACTTTGCCTTGGGACAGGAGGCTGGTTCCTCTGTTTCCTCCGTCTGGACAAGCAAGAGACACTGGCATGGGTCAAGGCACCTTCCAACCAGGCAAAAATACTGGGTGGGGTGACTACAGGTCAGGAAGAGGTGTGGCCTAGACAGCTCAGAGGACCAGGTGGAGATTTGGAGGGCCATATTTGCTTCCTGGTCATGAGGCACAAGGATGGAGAACTGGTGTCCCTTCAAATGTTGTTGGATTCCCAACTCTAATTGGCTTCAGCATCTTCTGGGGGCCACAAGCTCCCCACCCCCGCCATAGTATGGGTGGGATGGGATCAAAGCTGAACCAGGTATTTCATATTTAAAAAGGTAAAGGTAAAGGGACCCCTGACTGTTAGGTCCAGTTGCGGACGACTCTGCGGTTGCGAATCTCGCTTTACTGGCCGAGGGAGCCGGCGTACAGCTTCCGGGTCATGACAAAGCCAATTCTGGCGAAACCAGAGCAGCGCACGGAAACGCCGTTTATCTTCCCGCCGGAGCGGTATCTATTTATCTACTTGCACTTTGTGGTGCTTTCGAACTGCTAGGTGGGCAGGAGCAAGGACCAAGCAACAGAAGCTCACCCCGTCATGGGGATTTGAACTGCTGACCTTCTGATCAGCAAGCCCTAGGCTCTGTGGTTTAGACCACAGCGCCACCCGCGTCCCACATTTCATATCTAGGAGGGAGTATTTATTGGATTATTGCGCCATTGGGTTCCTTAGTGGCTAAGGTAGACAGGAAAGACTGTATAGAAGCAGAGAGCTGGAAGGGACCCTGGGGATGATCCAGTCCAACCCCCTGCAATGCAGGAATACGCAGCTGTCCCTTACGGGGATTGAACCTGCAAGCTTGGAGTTACCAGCACCATGCTCTAACCAACCGAGCTCTTGGGTTTTCTTCGCTGCTGATGGGCCCAGGTACTGAAGCAAGGAGGCCACTTGCACGTGCCTTTCGGCGTCACGTGGAAAACGCAACCTCTCCCTTCCTACCCCGCTGGCAATTTAGCTAGCCAACTCCCCATGAGGCACTGGGATCAGGTGGTTTCACAGCAGGGTATGCTGCTGGCATCGAGAGAGGCCAACACCACACGGAAAGCGCCAGTGGTGGAGCTCATTATCGTCTGTGGAGCCCAGATTTCTACCCAAGACACTTAACGCATCATCCCTGCCGTCTCCACTGTCGAAATCCCCTGCTCCAGCTCGGGAAGCCTGCGGCTCACAGATCTCAAAGCCCACCTGGACCCATTTCTCTGTATTGCCTTAGAGAGCTTGAAGGTGGTTCTTTCATGAGCACAGCCAGCCAGTGTTCTGCCTCCCCATAGGATGTGCAGCAGGTGGGATGTCATTTTTAGCAATAAATTAATTTTTGAAAATGTGCAATTGTATGCAAACTACACCGCCATGAACCCTGTGTGTTTCATGGGAGGTGCTCCCGCCCCCCTGCTTGCTGCTACTGCCACCCACGGGGCCCTGCTGCTCTCTGGTGGTGGTCTGCATGACCACAACCACCCCAGCCTGCCCTGGCCCTAAATATACTGCAGCTGCAGTTTGGCCTCTTTTGGATCCCAGAAGGATGGTGCGGCTGCCTCACGCAAGCTTGGAGCTCTGTATCTGACTCTGCTCGCTGGGAATCTCAGAGTCACTCCAACCCCCCTTGATCACTCACTCTTTTCTGAACCTTTTCCAACTCTACGATGTCCTTTTTTGAGGGGAGGCGACCAGAAGTATACACATGTGATTGTGCCGTAGAATTTTATCGTTTGCTGCCCCTTGAGCGCCTTGCTCTACCTGCCAGAGCTCTCTGAAGTCTAAAACCAACTTAATGAAAAAACACTGAGCCTCCAGCCAGGGTATGAATTTCAACGCTGACTTTTTTTTTAATAGAAAAGAAAACAATCCTTCTGACAAAGTCACTTTCAATTAAGTTTGTAACAAATATCAAATAAAATACAAAAGGCTGTAAATTCTCAAGCCTCCCAACAAATGTACAAAAACGGGGGCGTGGGGAGGAGGTTGGGTCCATGGGGTTCAAATACAACCAGAAAGCAGTTCAAGTTCTATTAAGTCTGGCAGAGGCCGGCAGAGGTGACCCCTCCTGCTTGCTGCTGCCTCCGCTGGAGTGTCCCCAGGGCTGGGAGACCAAGACTGGAACCTCTTTTCCCAGCGCTCGCTTTCGCCCAGGGAGACTCTAACGCAACACACTTCAGAAAGCTTCGGGAGGAGGGGAACTATGACCGTAGAACACACACTGAGAGCGCACGACTTCAGCAACAACCCCGTCCCTTGCGAGGATGGTCAGGAAGGGGAGATGTAGGAGGCAGCGGCAGCAGCCGCAGCCGGCGGCTGGAAAAAGCAGCTTTCCCCCCTCGGGCTCCACTCTTCCTGCCCCAACTTCCTCCCCTTCAGAGCTAAAGGGCTTTAAAAAGCCGGCAGGAGAGGGAAGGGGCTTTTACCTGGGCTGAGGAGGTCAGCAGAACAGGTGGCAAGTAAACATAGCCCAACCCCCCTGCAGCGTGAGGTAGAGAGTTGCACCCTAAGACAAAACGCCGTTGTAAAGGAGCAAGGGAAGTAAGAAGGTAGCAACGAGAACCAGTGCCTGGGCCAGGGGCACGGCGTCACCTTTGGTATGTGGCAGAGCTGGGGGTTAAGTGAAGAAATCCCTCCCTCCCTCCTGCCACCTCTCCCAGCCTGAAGGCGAATCTCACTGTCCGGGGACCTCTGCTGCGAAGGAATGTGGAGCAGGGCAGCCTGGGGAGGAGGCCGCGGCTAACTGCAGGAGCCCCACGGGAACTGTGCCCTGCTTCTGCCTCCTGTCCCCAAATCAGAGAGCAAATGGTGCCCTTGTGATCCTCAAAAATAAAAAGGAGAAAAAGAAGCAGCTACGGTGCTGAAGGGCTGCCCTGAGTGACTGCGAGCTTGGCAGTGTCCCTTGCTGGTTCAAACATGGACCCACCTGGGCCGCCCGCCCCCGCAGCCTGAAAGAACCCAGATCGGCTCACAAGCTGCTGCTGGAAAGAGGAGCCAGAGTCGCTCAGGGGCCCTGGAACGCCCTGCTGCCGCCGTGCAGGCATCAGTGGCGGCTGGAGACCAGCCCTTTGACCTTGGACATCTTCTTGGTGGGCGGCCTCTGCTCTGTGTGCGGGGGGCACTCCCGTTCCGCCAGCTGCTGCTCCATCTCCTGGGCCGAGGAGGAGGCTGTGGCTTTCAGCGTCTTCTTTATGTTTGTGACCTGCAGGGGAGGAGAGAGGCAGAGAGGAGGTTTCTTTGCAAACATGAAACAGCGGGGCACCCCCATTCCTCTGAAGCGCTAGCGGAGGACGGAAGTTTTCTGTCCCAAGTCGAGGTGCAGGAGGGGGCACAGCAAGCCAGAGACCAACGGGGAGGAGCAGGGAGCTCAAAGGAACATCGGAAGCAGCCTCAGACCGGGCTGAACCCATCAGCCATCTACCCTGGTGTCAGGGACTGGCTGGACGAAGAGGAGTGGTGGGGGGCAGCAGCCAGGGAACCCCAGAGGAGGAAGTCTCAGAGCCAGGGCATTGGCGGCGGGACACTGAGCAGAGGTTAGAGGAAGAAGAAATGAAATTGTCAGCGATGCAATGGAGGAATTTGTCAGACTTTACACTCTTGGCAGAGTTTGAGTCCCAACAGATATTGGGGAAGTTGAAGTCCCCCATGATTACTATTTCTTTCCTTTTTGAATGTTTGGTAATCTACTCTAGTAAGGCATCATCCGAGTCTTCAGTCTGGCTTGCCAGTCTATAGCAGACACCCACAGTAAGGTCACTGCTGTTTCTCTCTCCTACAATTTTTTTCTCCTATACTGTCAATCTGCTTTTCATGCTCCAGGTCATGGATTTCTTCATAAGTATACACATCCTTTATCTATAATGCTGCTCCTTCTCCCTTCCAGTGTGGTCTGTTCCTTTTGAGCAGGTTATACCCCTCAACTCCTACATTCCAGTCATGAGTCTCATCCCACCAGGTTTCAGTAATGCCTATTTGCTGTCCTGTATTAAAAGCTCAAGTTCATCTTGTTTGTTTCCAATACTCTGTGCATTTGTGTAGACAACTGAAACCATGAGTTGTTCCCTGCAGCTGCTTCCTTCCTGCAGTTTCTTACCTTTTAGCAGTTTTCAGGAGCACCAGCTCAGTTTCCTGTGCATCAATGAAGCTATTATCCCCATTTCCAGGTGCTCTTTTGCTGTTCCTATTGTTTTTCCCTCCCCCTCAAGATCTAGTTTAAAGCTCTCCTGATTAGATTCTCCAGACTCCTGGCAAACACACTCTTGGCAAACTGCTGTGAGGTGCAGCCCATCTCTCGCCAGAAGCCCGACCTCAAGGAAGCAGAGACCATGATCCAAGAAGTCAAATTCTTCCTGACGACACCACCTGCGCAGCCAGTGGTTTACTCCAAGTATTTTCCTCTCTCTTCTTGGGCCACAACCTTCAACAGGAAGGAGTGATGTCTCTTCAGCTCCCTGCCCAGTGTCTCATAGTCCCTTCCTGTGTGTGGCAGTATTATTTGTACCCACATGAATCAGAAAGAAGGGGTAGTAGTCAGTGGGCTTTATAAGACTTGGCAACTTCTCTGTCACATCGTGAATCTTTGCACCTGGAAGACAGCACACCTCCTGTGACATCCTGTTTCCTCCACACACTACTGCCTCTGTTCCCCTCAGTAGTATCACCCTGACTTGTCTCCTCCTCCTCTGGGGAGTAGCAAGAATCATTCCATGGGCTGTGCCTTCCAAAGGCTGCTTGGAGTGTTCTGAGGTCTGCTTCTGCTGTGCTCGAAGTCTTCCCCTCTTGTTTATTGGAGCTTATTTTGATATTGTTGGGACAAGTTACAAAGGCTGGAAACTTATGGTTTGAGTACTTCCTACTTCTTCCTCCCAGCTTGTCATCTCTGGGCTGCAATTCCCTTTCTCTGGTGTCGTCTCCACAGAAGGTAGCAAGTATGTTATCAGCATACTCATCCACAGTCAGTAGCCTTGGATCTGATGGGGTTAGATCAAGAATGGAAAAAGGCTCATCCAAATCCATCTCCTCTGGGGGGTGGGTTGGCAAGAATCGTTCTGTGCACTGTATCTTTTACAGCCACCTTCTGAGTGTCTTCTGAGGTTGGCAACTGCTGTCCTAGCTCCTCTGGCCCAGAATTGGTGTCCACGGTGAGAGTACGGAAGCGATTTTGCAACTCTAATGACAAAGTGTGGTTTGTGATTGTCCTACTTCTGTGTGTCGCATTCCTCCAGGGGTTAGACCAGGCAGCCCCAAACTCGGCCCTCCAGATGTTTTGGGACTACAATTCCCATCATCCCGGACCACTGGTCCTGTTAGCTAGAGATGATGGGAGTTGTAGCCCCAAAACATCTGGAGAACTAAGTTTGGGGGTGCCTGGGTTAGACTCTTGCAATGGGCAATCTTTCTCTACCCTGGGGGCACCCCATCTACCTTGGTACTCAATCTCAGTCAACTCAGCTCTATCAAGCAACTCTGCATGTTCTCCTGTTGCTTGAGGTGTGGCTAGGCAGGCCTCAAGTTGCTACACCTTCTCTTCCAGCAAGACAACCAGCTTGCACTTGCTACTAGTGTGCTGTTGCTTGTTCTCTGGCAGAATGACAAACATGGCACAGGTGTAACAGGTCACTGCAGCAGCTCCCTCACTCTCCAAATGCCTGGTCCTATGCACATCAAGAGACAGAACTCTTGGCCTCCCCTTTAAACTCCCCCACTAAACGCCCTTGCAAATGCCCCTGTTTGCGAACTCTGGTCGTGAGCTCCCAGGATCTGCACTGAGCTAAGCTTATCAGGCGATAGATGGACTGAATGACCAAATAATGTGAAAAATAAAGTGCTGAGAAAGGTTTGAGAGGAAGAACCTAAGAGGAGTGATTACGAATTGTTCCTTTTTAGGCAGTAGCATGCTGCCCTCTAGAGGCCAGAAGACTCACAGGAGCCATCCTGAGAAGAATGAATAAACTTCAGGATTGATTTTGAGCATTAGTTCCCACAAAGCTAAAGTACGGACACCCTCTAGGCTGGTTAGACCAACAGGAGAAGATTCCACAGGAATGAGTGAAGGTTGCAGAGGAAAAGTCTCAACGTTCTTGAATTTACTCCAGTCCGTTTGGAAACGAGGGCTGTTGCTTGCTGCTTGCCCTAGAGAATGGAGAAATAAACGGGGGGCCCATTACCTACCTCTGTCTCTACCTGCTGCTGGGTTCGGTTGTGGTTCTCTTTGTACTGGTTGGCTCTAAGCACCTGCTGCTCAATTCCTAACAGAACTGCTTCGCACCCATCACACCTGTAAACACAATACTTGCGCAGTCAATGTCAGAGAGATGGCGGGAGGTGGGGGTCTGCCTAAACCAAAGAGTGCGAAAGTTGGGAAACCCTGTTGGGGGGCAGCTTACCATTCGTGGAGTGTTTTGATGATGTTGCTGATGTCCTTCCTCTGGATGTCCCTGCCAATGCAGAAGTCTACTTCCAGCATCTGGTTGCGCTGGTCCAGCTTCCCCTGGATGATGTCGGTGTAAACGGCTTCGATGATCAGGTCTTCCAGCTCCCGCAGGTTCCGCATCTCCAGGTCATTCAGTAACACCGAGTAAGGAATACACTGGGGGAGAGAAGGGAGCCCAGGTGAGAAGCTGCCATTCGGGGGCAGAGACCAGCAGGAAGACCCTGGAGCCTAGACTAAAACATGCTTTTGTTTCTAGGTGCAGTCTGGGGCGCTGCTCACCGTTTCATAGGATATCTGCCAACTTCACACTTAGAATCATAGAAATGTAGAGTTGGAAGGGACGCCGGGGGTCATCTAGTCAAAGCCCCTGCAATTCAGGAATCTCATCTAAAGCATCCATGACAGATGGCCACCTAACTTCTAGCAGCTGAGAAAAAATCTGTTCTGGAGGGTTAGGGAAAACCCCAAAACAGGTTTAGGGCGTGAAAGGGAGAAATCTTGTTGCGTGCACAGGCATCATTCCTCACGTACAAACCCCCAAGTATGTTGAATTCACCCAGAGTATCTGTAGGACAGGGACGAAGGTCAAAAATGTGGGGACTAAGCCATCAGTGGCTAGCATGCAGTGGGGCTTCCCCAAAGGCAGAGGGCATTTAAGAGGAAGGCCTAAGTTGAAAAGGTTTGAGAGAAACGGAACTAAAAGAATATGGCAGATATTACATATAACACAGCAAGGACACATCATGCTTTACTGGGGAGCACCAGGGATTCAGAGGCAGTTTCCATTATTACTCATGCGCTGCCAACCGGAAGACAAAACGTTACCCAAGCCCCATCCATGAAATGCATGAAGGGTGTGCTGTAATAGCAGTACTTGTGGCACTACAGCCAGGCTTAGCCTGTTATTACTTGTTGTAACCTATCTGCTGAAGTCAATGAAAAAACTGCTCCAGTTCTTGCTTTTTTCCAGAAATACCTAATGGGATAGGTAAAGGTAAAGGGACCCCTGACCATTAGGTCCAGTCGTGACCGACTCTGGGGATGCGGCGCTCATCTCGCTTTATTGGCCGAGGGAGCCGGCGTACAGCTTCCAGGTCATGTGGCCAGCATGACTAAGCTGCTTCTGGCGAACCAGAGCAGCACACGGAAACACCATTTACCTTCCCGCCAGAGTGGTACCTATTTATCTACTTGCACTTTGACGTGCTTTCGAACTGCTGGGTTGGCAGGAGCAGGGATCCAGCAACGGGAGATCACCCCATCACGGGGATTTGAACAACCGACCTTCTGACGGGCAAGTCCTAGGCTCTGTGGTTTAACCCACAGCGCCACCCGCATCCCTCTACCTAATGGGATACAGGGCTACTATTATTCCTATTTTTTAGGGAGAATTAAAGTTGACACAGATACCTAGCCGTCCTTGAGTTACACCATGGAGTTATGATTTGGGAGAGATGGCAAAGGATAAACAATCAAGCCATCTGATAACTGATCAAAGGAAGCCAAAGTGATTCAGGCATAAATGTTTCATTTCAGCAGCTGCTCCTTCTGCTTCCCCCATTGCTAAAAAGCTGCCTGAAAGCACCAGGGATTCATGTCCCATAAGTCTATTCTACACCCTTTGGCTCTCAAGATCAACAGGAGATGTCGAAAGTTCCCAAAAATTCATATATGCATGCATGTGTAAACACACATTTACACACTCTGTGTGCGCACGAACACACATATATGGAGGTTTGCCTTCAAACTGGCTGGTCTTAGTGCCAATACTTTACCTTCATTCTGGAAGCTAAGCTGACAATAGTTAAGTGCTTTAACTTGTTCTTCTGGGCCCCTGTTAGCTCTGGCAGGTTAGTCTTGTTTGCTGTCCAAGAAATTGAATTAAAGAAAAACTTCAGGTTATGTGCTTCAATTGAATTACTCAACACTGCTGACTTCATTCACACAACTTTGAGCCACATTCTCTGCTGCACAAAAGAATGCTCCCACTTCCCTACGGGCACTGGCAAATGAAGAAGCATGGGGCAGTTTTCAGAATACGCACCTCTAGAAAGCAGAGTCCGCATTTCCCAACCCGTTAAACTTCCTAAATGTTTTGAATTATAACTCCTATCAACTCAAACCAGCATGGCCAATGATCAATGGAGTCCAAAACATCTAAAGGGGACTAAGTTGAGAAAGGCTGACATGGACTGTCACTTCACTGAGTTCATATATCTATAACCAAAAAGAGAAAACCAGAGCAATGCGGCTTTAACTCTCCTTAAGTTGCAAGCAAGTGAAAACCTGCACAAGGCAGAACTTTGTTTCCAGCATCCACACCTTTCTCTCCATTTTTTAAAAAACAAAACAAAGGAGTGGAACAGGCAGTATGCCATTGGGTATGAATTGCCTGCCAGAATCCATGGATTTTGCACTGATATCACACAAGGTTTCTAAACAGTTTCTATTCCCTCCATTGTGCTTCACCAATAAATCCATTTTGGATCACCATCCACAGTATCCCAGTGTTTTAATTACAAAATACCATGAGTAGGATACCCACCCTCACAAAACCAATTGCCATAAGCTGGTTTGAGCATGTGAGAACTACGCAAGTGCTGCGTGTTTTGCAAAGATTATCCCTTTAAAAGATTTGATGCAGAATGTATGGCAACTTTAGAATACTCAGGTGGTAAATTTTGGATGAGAATCAAGTTTAGGCACAACTTATTGACAAGGCAGATTTGGTAACAAGAAAGTTTCAAATCTCATTATTCTTAGAATGTCCTTGAAATCTGCAAAATAGGGGAGCTGGAAAACTTTTGGATAGCGAAGCAGCCTGGCACTGGGAACCAGTGCAAGTCACAGCAAATCAGTTCAGCTGGACTGATAAAGTAACTTCCTATGAAACATTTGGAGCCACCCAAGTTCACATGCTCTGCTGGAGGAACTGGACACGAAGGAATGGGTTAATTTCTTTCAAGGGCAGAAATCACCCCAGGTATGAGATAAGTTAAGAGGTACAAGGTCAACCAAGCCAGTTGTTATGGCAATGGCTCATTAGACAGTCAGTGAGCCTTGAGAAGTGAATCGGTGTTATGTCTTGAATTGCTGGAGCGACAGAAATACTTTGTATTTGTATGCATATATCTGCTGAAGTCAAAAGCCAACAACATCCAGTTAGAAAGATCTCAGGTAACAAGGCTTAGAAAGACCTCTGAGGACTTGCTGAACCCATAGTATGATGCATTAATGCAGTTTCACATGTTGCTACGTCTTTAGTGCAGAGCAGAATAAATTAATACTATTTATAAAGTGCCTGAAATGTTACATGCTGTACAATGAAATACTTCAGAGTCAACAGTGAAACTGGAAGGGTAAAATTAGTAGGAAAGGAAGGTGCAGGGCTCAGAAGAGATCACAGGGGAAGAGCAGAAAGCAGATAGAAAGGGGAGCAGAAATGGAAGTGAAGCAAGAGGAAGGAATTGTGATAGAAACTGAACAGGACCACCAGCTACCTGAAGCGCAGCTCCTGCTCTGCTCTTGGACAATTAAAAGATCTGCAGTGCAGAGTAAGGAGTGCAAAGCCAGGCAACTGATGACCTAATCACCAGCAGTCAGGGAGAGGGAGGCAATGGGAACAGAACTGCACGATAACAGGAGAAAAAAATGGGGAGAAATGGTATGTTAACCCATGCTATATTTCTACACTGCTTTTCATTCAAATGAATCCCAAAGCGGCTTACAAATAGGGATAGAAATAAAATCAATAAACAGTTTTAGAGATGAGCTCCATCTGAAAAGGACAGAAATTTTGTCTGAAGGAACTAAGGCAGACAGATCTGGCAGATTTTGAGATCTTCCATGAACTTGGCCAAGGAAGAAACTGGAGATGTCAAAAGCCAATGAAGACACAGTAGTGTTAAAATGCGTTCTAGAATTGCAGCTGCCTCTTACCTACATAGTCCGGGTATGTTCCATAGGCAAAGAGATTCAGCAGCTGAAAATAAGCAGCGTTGGGACCTTCGGCAAGCTGCATAGGAAGAAAAAAGAAAGGAAGAGACCCATTAGAGTGATATTGATCCAATGACTAATCAAGTATTAAGACTATTCCAAGGGTTATCAAATTACACTATTGCGAGCGTGCTTAAATCAAGGAGACAGCACTGGTCAAGGCCAGATGTTTCAGCAACGGAGCTTCCTGTTTTCCAGGTTCAACCTTAAATGTTGAAAATGGTACTGCTAAAGCAGCGTTCACCAAAGTGGGTGCCCTCTAGAGGTTTGGACCACAACTCTCATCATTCCTGACCATTGGCCACGCTGACTGGAACTAATGAATGATGTAGTCCAAAGTGTCTGATGGGTACTGTGCTGCTGAAGTTCGCCCTAAATAAAAGAGATTCCATATTCATTGTTTCACAGAATCTTCTGGCACACAGACTGTGTCGACTTTGCAGGCTGTTGCAGGATCAAGGTCTGTATAAGCCAATATATGAACCAAGTACTTTGGCCAGGCACCCACAGCACCTTCCAATATGCCACTTCTTGCCATTTTGTCAGGACCAAGAGACTAGGGTTGATGGCTTCAGAACAAGTTAAGATGTTAAGCCACGGTTTGAAGTTGGGTTAATGCCCTGGCTTGTTCTGAAGCCATAAGTCATACGGCAGGCTTACATGTAATGCTCAACCATGATTTAGAACAACGAGCATGAGTTATAATGAGCACAAGAGAAAACTTGAGCTCCCACACTCCACTCACCCACCTACCCAGTACAACCTGGAAAATTACCTGAGCAGTTTGCTTTCACTTTCCACAAAACTTGAGATGGCAATTTAAAACAAATTAGTTAAGCAATCCAGCAGCATCATTTATGGTTTGACACTCACCAGTCTCCAGGAAATCGGTCACACTCACCTCTTGCACATTTGTTAATTCCAGCAGCTCACCAAAGACATAAACCCCAGGGGCCTCGAGCACTTGGCTGATGAGGGCAGTCAGAGCTGATCCACTGGTGCCTTTGGCTAATAAAATAAACTGCTCAAGGAGATTACAGGACGGTTTCTGTTCCCCTGCCATTCTAGACGCTTTTACCTTTCAAAGGGAAAAAGGGGATAAATCACTACTCAAGCACTGCTAAGAAAGAATATGAGTGTGGCCAAGGTGGCAAATGTGTCTCAGCTTTGCTTCTTCCTCTAAAAAAGGTAATCCAATGGAAGTGAGACGTTTACTAATGCACAAAGCAGCAGCACCTCAACTCCATACACAACTGCATACACACTTGTGGAAGGTTGGGAAACAGTAGCTGAAGAGTATTGCTTTTAAAGTACGGCTGTGAACTTTCCCCTTGATTCTACTGTCCCATCTTTCTTTCATATGCTTAGTTTTTTTTACAATCAAGAAGTGTATGAATTTCATTAAAACAAACAAACAAATATCCGTCCGCCCTCAGGCGAAGAGGTGAAAATTTCCTTTTTGGAGCACACAATGGTACTCGGTTTTCAAACATAATCAGTTCTGGAAGTCCGTTTGAGTTCCGAAACGTTCGAAAACTGAAAGCGGAAACCTCAAAACGGAAGCCTCGTTTCCTGCTTGACTTCCGAGGCGTGTTCAAAAACCGAGGCATTTACTTCTGGGTTTTGGGCGTTCGAGTTCCAAAGCGTTCGACTACAGAGGCGTTTGAAAACCGAGGTACCGTTGTATGTATTATAAATATGTGTGTGCGTGTTACATATATGTAACACACACACACACGTTGTTTTTATTATGTACTTTGTGGTTTTATTCTGTATTTTTATCCTGTGAACCACCCTGAGATCTTTGGATGAAAGGCGAAATACACTTAATAAACAACAATGCATACGCCCCCTCCCACTGCATATATATATTATGAAAGGCGGAATTACACAATAAATAACAATAATGCTGGACACGCCCCCTCCCAATGCGTATATATTATAGGTCACACACACAGGAGGGGAAATGGGAGAAAGGCGTGATTGCGAGGCGCTTAACGGGACCGGGCGCTGCGGGGCGTTTCCCGGCAACGAATGACGGGCGGAGGGCCGGTGTGCCTGGGGGGCTCCCTCTTCCCACAGCCCCCGCCCGGTGAGGGAGGCCGCCATCACGAGGGGGAAACCCGCCCCCCAGGCCCCCCAAGGGCCACCCTCCGCCCCCCCACCAGCCCCACCAGCGCCGCCGCCCTGGCCACGGGGCCGCCTCCTCTGCCGCAGCCCCTACCTGGCAGCCCGGCCAGATCTCTTCCCTCCCCCTCGCTCGCTTCCTCCGCCCGCGCCGCACCTCAGGCCGCCATGACAGCGGCAGCGGCGGCGGAGTAGAAGGAGGCGGCGGAGAGGGACCGGCAAGAGCGCCGCGCGCGTGCGTGCGCCGCCGCCTCCGCTCCGGCCGGGAACTGCCTCCCCCGCGAACGAAGGTTCCGCCTGGGGAGACTCAGCGCCGCCAAACATCATTTATTATTATTATTATTATTAATTAAATAATATAATATATATATATATATATATATATTATAATATATATATATATATTATATTATTTAATTATATATATACACACACACACACACACACACACACAATCAAGAATGTATGAATTTCATTAAAACAAATATCTGTCCGCCCTCAGGGGGAGAGGTGAAAATCCCCTTTTTGGAGCATACAATAAATAATAATATTTAATAATAATAATAATACAGAACCAAAAAATACAAAACAAGCGCACGAAACAATAAACCTCTCCCCCCCCCCCCGCCGCCGCCACACCACTATACATAGATACAGATACTGTATAGTTATAGATATATTGTATTTTTATGCTGTGAACCACGCTGAGATCAACAGGCGAAGGCATCCAAATAAGTATAATTATAATTATATCCAGCCCCTCTGGGCTGCTTCCACAATATTCATTATGATTATACATATTGCTAGCATAGCTATCCCCGCCCGGTCCCCCTCCCTTAATACTCTGCTGGAGTTTGCACATCTGAAGGCTGTATTTCAATAAGTAATAATAATGTGGTTTTAATAATAACAATAATAATTGTTATATTTATCATGCCGCCACCAACCCTCATAAAAAAAAAAAACAGGCGCCAGAGCAGTTCACAGAAATCTGAAACGACATGTAACGACATAAATGTTTGCTTTTTTTTTTTAAAAAAGGAACCCTCCCCATATTACTTTTTAAAGGCTTTTGCACACAATAAAAGCACCTGTAATCTAGCACAGATAAACCCAGCGGAAGCAAAAATAAGGGTGCTCTACAGTCGATGGGGCTTATTCACCAGGTAAATAGGTATAGGGTTGCGGCCTAGCAGCCCCATCCCTAACCATGAGTCCTGTTGAATTTCGTGGGGTTTATTTCCAAATTAAGTGGGGTAAGGCGCAGTCCTGTGGGAGGAAGGGCACGTTGAAGCCAATAGTTAACTTCCAAGTAAAGGCATGCAACGAGAATCTTGCTGTGCAAATGCTCTTGGGAGCCCCGTTAGGCCTAAGCCCATTCACACCAGTGGATTTAGGGTATGGTTGTTGTTAGAAGAAAACCTTGAGTTACCAGGTTAACAGCAGCACCAAATTTCTTGACATTCAAAGACGGGCAGCATCCCATTCTCCCCCTAACCCCCGTGGCTCAAATCACGGTCTGGTGATGTCCACAATGTTGCCAGCCTTAAAAGGCGGAGGACAGGGCACAGCTAGCAGTGAGTGGGAAGGTCCAGAAAGAAGCTAAAATGTTGGTTTCAATGTATTGGGGGGGGAGGGGGGAAGACCGCTTCCACTTCTTGCAATGGTTCCTTAGAAATTTGGATTATAACAATGATGTGAAGGCGTTTCCCCCACTTTGACTCATGTACTGTACAACCACGTATATGTGAAGCACCGGGAAATAAATCGATTTAAGCTGCAAAGCAGCCCCAAAAGGTAGGAGAACTGCAAAAATCGTGCAAAAAGAGCGGGAAAGCAGCTAGCAATCTCAGGAGCCTTTGCACAGAACTTTCAGGCGTGTAGAGAGTGAGAAAGGAGGGTGGGAGGAAGCGATTGTGGAGGAATTTGGCTGATTTTTGTGGATATTTGGTGGTGACTGGGAGTGGCCGCTGGGACAATATAACAGTGGTCCTGAAAGATCTATCTACATTGATTCCCAGTATGTTTCCAAGCACAATTCCAAGTGTTGGTGCTGACCTTTAAAGCCCTAAACGGCCTCGGCCCAGTATATCTGAAGGTGCGTCTCCAGCACCATCATTCAGCCCGGACACTGAGGTCCAGCTCCAATGGCCTTCTGGCGGTTCCCTCACAGGCCCTCCAAGTGCCCCTATTTTCCAGGGACAGTCCCAGATTTACAGAAGCCGTCACAGTTTCTGATTTGCTTAGGACATCCCTATTTTCGTCAGAGAAATATTGCAGGGTATGGTAGGATGTCCCTATTTTTATCAGAGAAATGTTGGAGAATATGGAATTATCTGATCCCCGAGCCATCTGAAGGCAGCCCTGTATTTTTTGTATTTTTTAATATGTTTTTATATATGTTGGAAGCCACCCAGATTGGCTGGGGCAACCCAGATAGATGGGTGGGGTATAAATAGTAAAATTATTTATTATGGAATAGGACATTCCTATTTTCAGCAGAGAAATGTTGGAGCGAAAGGTGAGGTTACAGGGAACCAGGCAGAGGGCCTTCTTGGTAGTGGCACCTGCCCTGTGACACACCCTCTGAACAGATGTCAAGGAGATAAACAGCTGTGTGATTTTTAAAAGACATCTGAAGGCAGCCCTGTTTAGGGAAGTTTTTACTATTTTTTGTTGGAAGCCGTCCAGTGTGGCTGGGGCAACCCAGTCAAATGTTGTTGCTGTTGTTGTTGCTGTTGTTGTGAAGCAACGAAAAAGAGCAGTATCAAACTCTTAAGGACAGTTTGTATCCTATGTTCAGGGAAGATTGGTTGCAGAGCCAACAGGGGGTCGACTTGTTGTGCAGGACAGTATCCCAGCAGGAAGGAAGATTAAGCTCTCAGTTAGTTCATTCTGCACATGGGATTAGGCAGGAGAGAGGGGACCACCTCGTCCTTTTAACTCGAGCAGCAAAGTGTCTTGCCTGGGCCCTGCCCTGCCTTGATCCCTTTAATTTCAGAGAACAGCTTTGGTCCTATCCTATGGATAAGCGCCCTCTGAGGACTTCCGGGGCTCCTAAGGTAACCTCGCTCAGTAAAAAGATGGATGCTCATCGACCAGCAGTTGCAAGACAAAAACAAGCATTGATCGGTCTCTCAGAGATGAAATTGAAGTATCTCTGCTTTGCTAGAGCTCCCTCAGCTCTTGAAGACTGTCTGCTTTTAATGACCTGCTAACAGGGTAAATGGGTAAAAACATCAGGGGGCCAACAAGCCTGTTTTCTATGTGAGAAATGGAATTCTGGCTTGCTTGAAGGGCAAAAGCTCAATATCCTTCCATTTGAATTCTGCCATGACTTTTTTTGGTTAAAAAATATGTATATTATCATAACTCTCAGTCCAAGTACAGTGGTACCTTGGGGTAAGTACTTAATTCGTTCCAGAGGCCCGTTCTTAACCTGAAACTGTTCTTAACCTGAAGCACCACTTTAGCTAATGGGGCCTCCTGCTGCTGCCACACCGCCAGAGCACAATTTCTGTTCTCATCCTGAAGCAAAGTTCTTAACCCGAGGTACTATTTCTGGGTTAGCGGAGTCTGTAACCTGAAGCGTATGTAACCTGAGGTACCACTGTAAATATGGGGGGAAAGTTGCTGCCATTTATCTGTATACATCTCAAGAGCAAGAAAAAGCTTTTCCCTCTGGCACTAAAATGTGTGTGTTGGGGCTCACTTTTGCTCTAAGGTTTTATAATCCTGTGATGTTTTTATTATTTTATTGTACACCCTGCTGATATTCTTATCTTAAGTGGCAGTTTATAAATTTCCCTACAAATAAAGATATACAGAAACACGACCCCCCCAAATGTATATTATCATTTTTTGTAAAAAAATCAAGTACAAGCGTTGAATGTACAATCCTATAATTCTGTGAAAGAGCAAATCCAATGGGGTGGGATGTATGGCTTGACCGTATAAAAACGCTGCATGCACCACACTAAAAAATAAAAAGGGATATTTGTTTTTAAGATAGGAAAGATGACCAAACATCATAGAATTGAAGTCCACCATCCGGCCATGCAGGAGTCACAGCTAACAAATCCATGACAGGTGGCTACTCAATCTCTGAAAACCTCAAGTGAAGGCGAGTCCATCCCCTACCAAGGGAATCTGTTCCACTGTCAAACAGCTCTTACCTTCAGAAAGTTCTTCCTAATGTTTAACTGGTATATGCTTTCCTGCAATTTGAATCCATTGCTTCTGGTCCTCCCCTCCGGAGAAGCAGAAAACAAGCTTTCTCCGTCTTCCAAGGGACATCCCTTCATATATTTGAAGGGGGCTATGGTATCACCTCTTGCTTCCTTCCTGGAGGTTTTTAAGTAGAAGACTGATGGTCTTCTTTAATGGATGCCTTAGCTAAGATTTCTGCATTGCAAGGAGTTGGACTAGATGAACCTTGGGGTCCCTTGCAACTCTAAATTTCTATGATTCCATGCATATTAGGAGAAATTCACCAATGAATTTTCAGAGAATCAGAGAATCGTAGAGTTGGAAGGCTTCTAGTCCAACTTCCTGCAACGCAGGGAAAAAAAATAAAAGATTGGTTGTGTTGTGGAAATGTGAAGAGCTGAAACTTAAGATGAGAAAATGAGATGAAAAGATGAAAAATGAGAAACTGAGAGAAACCCAAGTGGATGGATTTTCTCATTCCTAAATTGGGTGTAGAGGAGAAAACTAAGATTAGACCTGAACGCTTATGGGAAGCAAAAAGCACAGCCTGTGATGGTTTCATCAGAACCCAGCTGCGTGGCAACAATTTGTGATGATCATTTCACTCAGGGTTACTAAGATGGCTTGTATTAACACAAATAAGGTAAGAAAGCACTTCTTCATTCTGCCCCAAAGGAATCTTATTGAACTTCTCAATTTGTGGGTTGACATTCAGCTGCTTTGTCCGAGAGTCTCCCTCTGAACTCACTTCTAAGGAAGGGAGCTTTAGTCCGCTGAAACCTCTGTTATATATAAAACATAAATTTCCTAGCCTGTTCCAACGCCACAGGACTCTGCTCTTTTTGCTGTCATTGGCCAATATAGCTGACCCACAAAAAGGTCTAAAAGCATTTAAGAGTAGTATAGTCAAATAGCTCCAATACTTTGGCCACCTCATGAGAAGAGAAGACTCCCTGGAAAAGACCCTGATGTTGGGAAAGATGGAGAGCACAAGGAGAAGGGGACGACAGAGGACGAGATGGTTGGATAGTGTTGTCGAAGCTACCAGCATGAGTCTGACCAAACTGCGGGAGGCAGTGGAAGACAGGAGTGCCTGGCGTGCTCTGGTCCAGGGGGTCACGAAGAGTCGGACACGACTAAACAACTAAACAACAACGAACAACAACAATAGTTAAATGAAATGTTTTTTATTTGCAAAATATGTGTAGATATTTTTTTCAAAATGAGAGCAAGAGAGCATGAAGCTGTGATATTGAAGACAATCCTAGTTGTGACCCAGATTTGCCGATCGAGCAAAGTGCTGGAGAAAACTTCTTCATAATTATATTTTGGTAATGATTCATGCAGCTGCATTGTTTTGTACTTTCTGTATTTCCCACGATCGTATTATAAAACAGTTGTGTTCTGTGTTATAAATCCAGCACAGCTGGGAGCTGTTCCTTTTTGTTTTCCAATCTATTGCTTATCAAAAATATATATATATTGTGGCAGGAGTAAATTTTTATTCTGAAAAGTGTGGGCCCTGGTTTGAAAGAAAAGAGACCCTCACAGGACTGGATCCACAATCTCACACAACTACCGTAAAGCCACACACGTGTGCGTCAGGCGATGATCGCGTAACGTGTGAAGGGTGCCCGCGTGTCTAGCGCGACCCGCAGGTCCGGCCGCCAGGGGGCCCTCTTCACCAGAGGCGGCCGCTTTCCACGCGGGAGGGACGGCGCGCCCGCCTTCCGCCTAAGATTGTCCTGCGGCGACACCCGTCTTCCCCCGCCGCCAGGGGGGCAGTCAGTCAGTCAGGCGTCCCTGCCTTAGCGACCAGCGGCGAGGGAGGCGGGGGCACCACCGCCGCTAAGCCCGCGGATTGGTCACCGGCGTTGCCAGTCGCGCGCGCGAGGGGGGCGATTGGCTGGCTGGGCGGGGCCAGCCGGGACCAAAGCGGGTTGGTTGGTTGGTGGGTCTGTCTGGGCTCAGCGGCGGGCGCAGCGGGGTCCGGGCCGGCGCGCTCTCGCCTCCTTCCGACGCCCCCGCCCAGGTCCGCGAGGGAGCGAGAGCGGGAGCTCAAGGCCGGGCCGGGGGGCGCCCAGCCCAGCCGCGAGGAGCGGGACCATGTCGGGCCAGGAGGAGGAGCGCGCCAAGGAAATCCTGAGGGGGTTCAAGCTGTATCCGGCCTGGTTTGGCGGGGGGGGGGGGGAGGGGGTAATTACGGTAGAGAGATTGCGGGGGGCGCGCCAGACGGGGAAATACGGTAATGGCTAAATATTATTATAGGCGGTTTTAGCGCGGGGAGGGGGAAAGCAATGGATGCATGGGGGCGTGATATTCGGAGGGAGCGTCAAGAGTTGTAACTACGGGGTGTGCAGATTCCTGCATTGGAGGGGGTTGGACTAGATGACCGCCGGGGTCCCAGCCAATTCTGCAGCCCTGTGTCTGGTACGCCTAGCTGGTGGAGAAGAATACCCATAGATGTGCTTGCAGGGATATGCGCTTGCAGGATTTATTTGGCCGGGGCGTGGGGAGCTGGGTGTGTAAATGTTCCCTTGTAGGTGTGTGCAAGTATTTGGATGAATGGGGCATGCCTGTTGGGGGTGTTCAGCGAGTCAGTAGAATATACTTGGGTGTGATTTAAAGTGTTCCTGGCATGGGGAGAGCGCCAGTAGCCGGTTTTGTGTCTTCGGGGGTGTTTGGGAATGGTCTTATGTCTGCAGCAAGCCTTCCTCCTTATGCACTCTCCATGGGAAAGGGGAGATGGGGACTTTCCCTCTGTTTCAGATGCTCCTCAGTTTTAGTCTGCTGGAAAGGGGTCTGAGGTAAGCTTCAGAAGCACATTGACGTGTCTGTGGCTTGGCGCCAGCGGGCCCTGGAGCTTGGCAAGTTTGCAAGGCTTCCATACTGTATAGGAGAAGAACTGGAGATCTGGAAAGAGCCAGAAGCTGCGGCTCCGGCCCTATCGCCCTCCATTGCAAGATTCTATAGATGGGAGCCTCTGCGGGATTAACCCACATAATCCAGATCATAGTGTGCCAAGAGCAGGAATGGGTGCGTTGCAGGAAAGGACTTCCAGAGCACTTGAGCAAATGGGCCCAACTCGGCCTGATCTGAGAGGTGGTAATTTGTACTTTCAAATGAGAGCTGTCTTGGGCTGTGGTTCTAGGTATGATTACTTAGGGGTAAGCCCCATCAAACCTACAGGAATGGACTTCTGAGTAAGCGTGCCTAGGCTTGACCTATTAGTAGCTATGGCCACTTCTCTCCCTGCCCCTTTGTTTCTTTACCTATGAGAGAGAGAAAAATGCAGAAAGCATGCCTACAACATACTGCACGACAGTCAGCTGACTGCCAGTGTTTGCAAAGTGCTATGCACTTTGTCACAGGCACATCTTTATCTGCGTGCCACCTAGCACCATATAGATATATAATACGTTTTTATTAAAAGATTTTTCTTGGGCAACAATACACCACACACACAGTCTCTCTTTTCAAGTCATAGAATCATTCAAGCAGATCAGTCATTTTCAGAGTGAAATTCCAATGCTACGGGCAGCATGGGTCTGAGGGGAAGAAAGAGGGGAAATCCATTCTTTTACATGGTATATGAACAAAGCTTTTGTGTCAGCGTCATGTAAACAGGTACTTTATTTTTGCTGGCGATGCGAAAATCCAGAGGACCCAGGAGGTTACACCCAGTCCTTTTTTGCTGGCAGCGCTCAAGGGTATCAGTACCAGCACCTTTTCCCGCAAATGTTAAAAGTGTGGCACTTACTGTAACACCTTCATGATAAGAGCCAGCACCTTTTTTTCCAAAAAACAGGAGCACTGGTTACGCCTAGCGCCAAATGTGATATTAGGTATCAAGTAGGTGGGTGCAGCCGAAAGGAGAGAACTGGTGGGCCTGGTTAGACCTGCAGGCAAAAGCTTCTCCCTCCCTGCTGTCTTTGGTGCCACTTGTTTTGAATGGTGGGGGTATAAAGCAATCAGACTTCCAGCTCAGGGAGGTGCCATGCATTAGAACTGAGTGTCTGTAGTTGGTAGAAGGAGGCATTTGTGGGGATCAGTACTTCATCTCCAATGGGAACTCTGGCCAGTATGGTTTGTGTTGCCAAGAATGCAGGAGGTGGACGGCATGCCTCTCTGGTTTGCTTTTGAGTATGAACACAGCACATTTGGGCAGCCTGGGGACTGTTATCACACGCAAAGTGGGCTCAAATGAGCTTACTAAACTGCGGGAAGTTTCAAACACAGGTTTCCTGGCTGAAGCAGAACCTCATCTGAGGACCCCTTGATTGGTATGCTTTGCACAACCTGTGTTCTAGCCCAATTGTGTTTGTGGCGGTCTGTTTTTGTTTGGTGTTCACAATTGGAAAAAGGACAATTGGAGGAGTGGAATGGTTCTTCTCTAGGGCAGAGGTCAGTATCCATAGGGAGTGGCTCAGTAACGCTGCGTAAATAACTTTCCTGAGAAACTCTTGCGGCCTTTCTCTAATGTCTCTAAGAGTTTTTATTCACTCCCAGCTGGCAGAGGCACATTTCATTGCAACTGCTCTTGAAATTACCCTGACTTTTCAATAGTTATTTCACTTTGCAGTATATATGGGGTTTTTAGTTTTTTCTTTTTTAGGAACTTGGTTGGATGCATGGTCAGCTAGGCTTCTAAATAGCCACCTGGTCACCTATGATGAGTTAGAATTTCTTCCAGGTGACCAAGAGGTAAAACTTTGCAAAAGATCTTCAGCTGATGGACCAGTATACTGGTCAGTTGGTAGACTAGTATAATGTTAGGGCAATCTAGTAACTGTGAAATTCACCTGCAAGGCCAGACCTCAGTTTTTAGCAGAAGTGGCTCATTATTTTTCTTCTGGTTATGAGAACTAAGAACTAGCTTGTAGAGGAAAAAGCTGTAACTTGCCATGTAGGCCCCAGGATACTACATGAGACTCTGCATCATGGTTACCAATTTATGGAGCCCTTGTTTATGAGCCCTTGTTTCCTGATGTTTTTCAGAGCTAGGGAGGTGTGGACAAGATAGATTGAGAAGATTCATAGTCAGCAAGAACTGAAGGCTTGATGAAAGTTTAAAGACCACATTTTGAGTTCCTTGCCAGCAAGGTGTCCTTTGAAAATAGTGCCAGGGAACCTTCTTTATCTGGGGACTGAGAGAAGTTTCTCACATCCATCACACACACCCTCCTAACAGTGAGAGCTTGCTAACATCAAAGCCTTACTTTGTAAGTTTCCTGATGTGATTCCTCCTCTGTGATTTTTGTATTTGTGCTGTGGCTTTTCCATGTCAGGATTGGTGTCCTTGCAGTGTGCTCACCTTGGTCCTTTTGGCTTCGGTGGAGCTGTCCAACAAAACTGTTTCTGATAGGAAGCCTCTTGAGTCTGACGCTGTACTCTTGGAAAGCAAGCCATGCCCTGAGAGAAGAGATAAAGCCACCAGTATATTCTCTGCAGTTCAGCTGTGCTGAAGCAAAGGCTGTTCACCGAGCTTTCACATTCTCCCTTGCCTTAGATCAGGGGTGGGCACTTGTGTCCCCGCTGCAGTTGCTGGACATCAGCTCCCATCCTCCCTCACCTTTGGCCATGCTAGCTGGGGCAGGAGTTGGTGCCCGGCAACTTTTGGAAGGTCGCGAGTTGCTCACTTCTACCTTAAAACTTTGTGCTTGTCCATCCATCCTTTTCCATCCTTTCCCCTTTTTGGTGCCAGAGCTCGTTGCTCTGAAATGTGAAATTGCAAGCAGGCAGAATACTGTACCACTAAACAGCAGCATGCCACACATCTGACATAAGAGCTTCCGTGTCACATGAGGCAAGTTCCAAGCAGTTATGAGCCTTGACAGTTCTCTCTCCCTCCAGAAATTAAGTGGTGTCAACCACCCTTGATTTTTTTCCTCTCTCACCCAATTTCTTTGGAAGCAAGTGACATTAGCGAGGATTGGATAAGCTTGATTCTTCTCTTTTCCCTCTGCCCCCAGTGGAGGCTTTTTCAAAGCAGGAGGTTTCAGAAATGTTGGGTGGGAGACTCCAGAGACAGCCTATTATTGTACTACCCTCCCAGCTCAGGGATTTCCAGAACTCTTCTTTGTGTAGTTGATGCCACCGTCCTCTAAACTTTCTCGCAGTTGCTTCTATTTACTTCTGCGTCGCTCAGGAAGTTTTCTTTCAAGACATGATGAATATAGACATAGTTGAGGGAATCCACCCTCTGACTCAGTCATGTTGGACAGTGATTTCCTTCCTGTAACAGTAGTAATGCAGCGATGTTCTGTGGGAATAAACCTTGGGCCTGAATAATTTGGCCCAGACTCCATGGATTTAAATATTCACTTAATGGGATTTGTGTATGTGGTATTTTGGATCTGCTTGGTTGGGCTTTGCTCTAAGAGAGAAGATGTGGGTTCAGAAGAGTTGAGGACAGTTTGGTTGTGTGCTTTTGTTCAGTATTCTGAGCCTGACTATGGGAGCCTTTCAGTGGGGTAGGAGATGGGGGCTAAAGGGTGGAGATAAAAATTATGTAAAATAATATAGTTGTGTGGTCATTTGCTTGTTCACCAGCCTGTGGGCAACCACTCATGTTGTCCCACTGCCACATGCACAATTTAACCCACAAAAGTGTGCCTCCTGAGAGCAGATCCGTGCATGGGATGATGCCCTGGTGTGTGTTAGGTCTGAATAAACAGCTGTGTGTGAATCAGAATTTGCTCCTTTTTATAAGGAAGCAAAGAACTTGCCAATAGGTCAGATTGTGGGCTGGTAGGTGTTGAAGTGAGGGTTCCTACAGCCAGCTCATACTTGATTGCTATCTTACTTAGGGTTGCCATATTTCAAAAAGTGAAAAGAATCTCAAAAAAAGAAAGAAAGCAAAGCAAAGCAAAATGTAGACTTCTAACATGGGTTGCCATACATCTGGATTTTCCCAGTCATTTCAATGATTTCAGCCTGGACGTTGCTTCCGACTGCCGTATTCCGGCTATGTCTGTGCAAGCTAGGTGAGCAGGCTGCCCTGGTCGAGTTCTCTTACCTTGTGGAAACTCAATTCTCTGTATGGTCCTGCCAAGTGACCTGAAGAATCTGATTGTGCACCTGGTTGAGATTTCTGGTAAAATGACTCTGTAGCCATCTTAAATTTCTTCCTGCTGACCAATCTTCCCTGCAAAATGTGGGTCAAGTTGTCACTCCTACATACAGCTGGTGTTCTGTGGATGGTGGTGCTTGGGATGCCTTCTGTAAGATACACAGGTTGCACCTATAGCCATCTGGCCAATGCGTGATCCCCATACTTCTATTTTCTACTGTGTGTAAATCCTGAATTATTTTTGAAGTATAGCCGTGAGCTCTGTGTGCTACAGATGTTAAACAAGACTGACAACTGAATCGGTTCCTAAAAATGAAATTCCTTAGCCAACAGCCTCAGGCAGGCAACCACTTACACATGTGTTTATCTGTGTAACTGTGTGTTTAGCTTCTGACTTGCATGGGGAAATGCAAGGTTGGGCATCCTCCAATATCAATACGTCTATTACTATTACTACTACTACTACTACTATGTACTAATATTTAGCTCTAATATAGTGCTTTTGAGTGTTTCAAGCGCTTCATGCAGACTATATTATGGTGAGCTTTACAACAGACCAATAAGGTGGGCTGATATTATCCCCATATTGCAATTAGATGGTGAGCCTGACCAAATGTGACTTGCTGATTTGTTCATGGTGTAGTCAAGATTCAAAGTACAGTTTCTGGATCCACAGGTCAGCCTCTTAAGGCCAAAATGGGAGGTGTTGGCAACAGACTCATATAGCAGAATTTGGTTGCTGCTGAGAATCCCTACAAAGGTGGGTTTGAAAGTACAGTGTGAGAAGCTGGGAAGAGGAGTTCTGTGCCTTCCCCTGAAACTGCCTCTCCCCAGCCTCTTTCTCCCAACGCTGGAAGTAGCCCCCGCTGGAAGGAAACCAAAGTGGAAGAAGTCGTGCTGGGAGGGAAATAACATGATTGTGTTTTTAAGTTCCTCAAACACAGTAGAAGGGAGATGGAGGCACCAGTGGGTATGATCCCAATGCTTTCTGGGTGTGAGGGCAAGGGAGAGACATTTATCAAAGGACTGACATATGTGCTTCTTAGACTGCCGATGAGCTGCAAGAAAAGGCGCCTCAATCCAAGCAGTCTCCCAAGGATTCCTCGATGAAGAGACTGAGATTCTCAGAATGCATTTGGGAACATAACCACTCGTACAGCTGTCATCTTTTTAAACATTTGGCTCTTTTCCACAGCTGTTTTTGATCCGCTTTTATCTCCTTTAACTCCCCCACCACCACCATGGATGTTTGTGCACGCACACCTGGAATTTTGGCACAAGCTAATTTGGATTATATGCTCACCAGCTCACATTGAATTCTGTGATAACCCAAAAATAGATATATATTTCAGGCATGTGTTAGTGAGCGCTGATTTTCATGTTTAGCTTGTCTGTCAACTTTCAGCAGTCTAGGTCTTGAATTTTCAGACACAAAATTTGGGATTCAGTATTCACCAAGACTATAACATTCTTATGGATGTAAGGAGCTGACTGATATGATTCCTGGTCTGGTTCTGGATCCAAGGTTCTGGGCAGAGGTCTTTCAGACTAGTACTGAGACCGCGGAATTGAACCTTGAATCATCTGCCTTTGAAGCGTGTGCACCCTTTACTGAGCTATGGTGCTTCCTTGTTTCATCTTCTGTGTCTGTATACTGAACAAAAAGCTTCAGTCTTATACAGTCATACCTTGGTTCTCAAACTTAATCTGTTCCAGGAGTCCGTTTGACTCCTGAAACCGTTCACAAACCAAGGTGCGGCTTCCGATTGGCTGCAGTAGCTTCCATTCAGCTCATGCCATTTGAGCTGTTTCTGAATATATGGGTTGTGTGGTAAGTGAACGTTAGTTTGAATAGGGCGCTCTGGCTTGTGACTGCTGTATGTAACATGCCTGTGAGACGGCAAAAACTAGTTGAAATTTTGGGAAGCTTTTAGGTAGAGCAGGCAGAACCTTGGCACATCCTTCTGGGGAGTGCAGTGAAAAATAATGGGAGTTGCATGGTTCACCACCACCATCCTGGTAGGGGTGGGGTGGGGGTTGAATCTGTGCAGGATTGGACTTTTTAAGTGAACAGTGCCCCCTCCTTTGAAAAGCAGAGGATTCGGCTATGGTTGAATTTCAAGGCAAGCCCCTGCCAAAGAGCAGCTCATAGGAAAGCTGAGCTTTTAATCTGACATAAGTCTTCCACTAAAGTGCCCGACGGAAATGCTTCTGATGATTGCTATGAGCATACGCCTGGTAAATAAAGCAGATAATGCCCTTTCCCAAAATATTAGCAAAAACTGGATTAAGCAGATTCTGCCAACTCCTTGCTCCCAAGGACACAGAGTTGCTCACTTGAGTTGCCTGAGGAGGTTTAAGGCCATGCAGGGAGTGCCGAAGGCAGACAAAGAAATGGCTGGATGACCAGTAGTTGCCAACTTGGACCAGGGACCTTTGAACTTCGTACTTTGGCAGCCAGGGTTGGATATTTGAATGGCATTCCATTTCTACATGTGGCCCATGCAGTGTGGTTCTGTGGCCACCGAGACAGAGGTCCCCACTTTGTGTCTCTTAGCCCTTTCATGCTTCTCACCTGGCCACAGGAGAAATCCCCTTCCTAATGTTTCCAGGATCTTTTGACCTGCCTCTTCTACCCCACATACTGTTGTACTGGGTCCTACAATCACTTCTTTTGCCCCCCCCCATTCCTGAAAATTAAGCTGCACCCACAGTGGTTGGGAAATGAGACTCGTTTCCTGCTGTGGCTGGTGTGCTGTGTGGAGAGAGGGGAGTGGACAACCCTCTTGCATGAACGCTTTGCAAGGCTGCGTTTGCTTCTTGATGTAGAGCAAAAGCTCTGGTGCCCTGAGCAGACAGGCTGCTTCATCCTAAAGCCATCCCTGTGTCTGCTTGGGTGCGGGAGAGACATATGCAGGCTAATAGCTTCGAGGTGCTTCAAACATGTGCACCGTAATGTGTTGATATTGATCGCAGTTATACTAGAAGGTGTAAATAATATTTTCCAAAGTGCACTTCAAACTGAGCATGTTTGCTGTTTGAATGACTACTAAATAGAATCTGTGTTGTGAGGGGAAAGGGGACATGAATAACTCTGAAGGTAAAGCTGAATAGCATTTGCTCGGTTGGAGTACTTTGCAATTCTCTGTGGAATGAAGGTGGACAGATGGCTTGTGTGAGAAGCATAAGTGAGCTCTCCAATTACTCCCACCTGCAATTTTCAAGCTCTTTAAATTGATCTTCCGGGGGTGGGTGAGGGTAGAGTGACAGAGCACTCGGGTGGGGGGCTAAAATGTAATACAGGGATAGAGCACCTGTGGTCCAGCAACATCTACCAAACCTGACCATTCACCATGCTGGCTGGGGCTTATGCGAGTTGTAATCCAACAATATCTGGAGGGCCACAGGGCCCCCACCCTCGTATTTCCATTTGTGGCTAGCATTTGCACACGGCAAGCCTTTTCTCTCGGTGGATGAGACTTGGAGCAAGCCAGCGAGAGCTGGGGCGTGAGATCCTGCCAGCGTCTTAGTCACTCCCCTCTGTGCTCCTTCTCCTGCAGAATGAGGCTTTTCTTTCTCTAGCTCCTGGCTTCTCAAGGGGGTTGTTGGCAGAGGGGGACTCTCCGCGCTCTTGTTTCCTTCACAACTCTCAGTCTGTAGAACGTGGAACAAATGGCCACGCTGTTCAGGAATGTGTAAGGCAGCAGGGTTGGCATGGCACCAGAAACGTCTGATATGGGCTGGTTCATAAATAAGTACCACAGTGCGCAGTCACTTTCTTGGGAGCCGTCTCGCTCTTGACGTACTGTTTTGCCTCTCGCAGAAATGCTTAACACCTGCAGCATTAGCCTTGCAAGGACTAAATGTCTCTCTGTGTGTGTCGTTAGTTCTAAGGACAGGGTGAGCCTGCCTTGATTGTGAATGGCTTACTACAGCAATGCCCGGGAGATGCCCCATTCCCCCTGGACATTGTAGAAACAGTGTGAGCTTAGCTAAGGCTGACTACAGCGCAAGTGCCGTGTGCCGTTTTGAAGGCAGAGCAGAGAAAATCTTCACTGTCTGTTTCTGAAGTGTCAGTTCAAACTTCTGAATGGCTTGTCCCACAAACAAAGGCTGGAGGAACGAATCTTGCTTTTGAGCCTTCGGTGACCAACAGCATTCTGGCACCGGTTAGTTCCCAGCACATCTTTCTCCCATTTGCTCTGTGCCTGCTCTGCTCAGGGACCATTCTCTCAGTCCCTGACTTCCTCTCTCTTCCTCCCTTGCAGATGGCTGTTATCACTCTGAATAGGGCAGCAGCAGAAACGATCAGCTTCTTAACTTTCAGAAGCCCCTTTTCAGTATGTTGCCTATGAGCTCAGGCTTAGACCTCAAGGTGTCATTCCAATCCATGGAATTTATTATTCCGTCTAACAGAATATTGACATTTGAATCTCCTAGGGCTGCTGCTTTGGCCAATAACAAGAAAAAGGAAGTCCGCTTAAATGTTTCACTAGAGCACAGCTGCCAACAGCCGAGGAAAGGATTGGTTAGGCCTTGCTTAACAGAGACTGAGGTGGCTGTGTTGATGAAAAGTCTTTTAAGTTTTCAGGTGGAAATGAAGCACATAGATTCAGCTCCTCTTCCACATGCATACCTCCAGTAGCTGCAAGCAAGACTCTAGTCCAGTGGGAGAGAAGGTGCCATATGGTGATGTCTGGCAGTGGAAGCTTAAACTGGGGGCAAAACACTGTCAAGGCTTCAGAAAATGAGCTTCAGGTTAGCTGGATATGAGGACTGATGCAGACAGCTGTTTAGTGTGGGCATAAGGTTCAGTGTCTCTGGCACCCACAGTCCAGCTGGTCAGTTCTAGGTTTCTTCTGCCCACTGGAACAGGGCAGCTTGTGCAGGTACTTTCCTCTCCCTGGACTGCTGCTTATGATTCTGTTTCTGAAGTTTGATTCGCATACTGCTGTGCTGGGTGTTGTGCTGGCCACCATTTGGACTTCCTGTTTGCCAGCTGTGTACTTTAGCATGAACAAATCTGGACTCCTAATCACTCCTAACTCATACCTAGGTATCTATAAACACAGAGTATTGATGAGTTAAACCGAAATAGCCTAGGTAAACGAGGCCTGAGACAGGGAAGGGTTTTTTTTTTAGTGCAGTTCTGGGGGGCTATGCAGGTTTCCTTTAGTGCCACAAGTATGCTTTTGAAGTTGTATGTAAAATTAAGAGTAGTACAGTGGTACCTCGGGTTACATACACTTCAGGTTACATATGCTTCAGGTTACAGACTCCGTTAACCCAGAAATAGTACCTCGGGTTAAGAACTTTGCTTCAGGATGAGAACAGAAATAGTGCTCCGGCGGCGCGGCAGCAGCAGGAGGCCCCATTAGCTAAAGTGGTGCTTCAGGTTAAGAACAGTTTCAGGTTAAGAACGGACCTCCGGAACGAATTAAGTACTTAACCCGAGGTACCACTGTATGCCCTAAGGCAAGCATAGAGCAGCCCTAATAGTGTGCCTTCATCCACCAAATATCCTGCCTTGCAGGAAGAGTTTTCTGTTCCTTTCTCACAAAACACTCAGATACCACTCAGATGATCTGTGCTTACAAAGACCAGGGGTTTCAGCTTAAGGGAGTGAGGGGTTAAATTTCACATAGAATTCACTTTCTAGTTCCCTGCCCCCCCAAAATCCTCAGGACTGACTAGACCAGGAGTAGGCAACCTAAGACCTGGGGGCCGGATGCGGCCCAATCGCCTTCTCAATCCGGCCCACAGACGGTCCGGGAATCAGCATGTTTTTACATGAGTTGAATGTGGTTTTTTATTTAAAATGCATCTCTGGGCCATTTGTGGGGCCTGCCTGGTGTTTTTTACCTGAGTAGAATGTGTGCTTTTATTTAAAAAGCATCTCTGGGTTATTTGTGGTGTGTAGGAATTCGTTCATCCCCCCCCCCAAAAAAAAATATAGTCCGGCCCACCACATGGTCTGAGGGACGGTGAATCGGCCCACAGCTGAAAAAGGTTGCTGACCCCTGGGCTAGACCCTCTGATACCAGAGCAGTTGAGTCAGTGGCAGCAGGTGGGCCTGCAACATCAGACGCAGAGCCCAGGAGTTGATGCCCTTGTGAGAACTCATGCTCACTGTAACACCACAACAGATCAGGCCATGGCATTGGGGCTTACAGAATGCATCTGCCACTGAACTACAGCCCATAGAAATAAATAAAGTAACTTGGTTACTTTCCCATAGTATTTTAATACTTTTAAGTGCAAAGCACGCACAGCCGTGCTGTACGGTCCAGGTTGATGTTCTTCCTTGGGAATGTTGGGCAGGCAGCCTGTCGTGCCTTGGTGCTTCGTCAGCAAATAGAAGCCCGTTGCAGCATTGGCATAGGTTTCCCAGGGAGTGCTTGCCTCAGTCCTGATCAGAATTTTTATTTTGCTCATTAGATGCTGCAGCAGCCCAGGGCTCAGTGTGAGTCCGCTGTGAAATTTCAGTAAGTTTAAATCTGTAAGGACAAGAGGCCCATCTGCATTCTCTGGGCTTGCCTGGAATCCAGATTTATTGTGGGTAATTGATCGAAGGTGCGTGTTAAGTGTGTGTACATTTCATGCTCTTGGAACTATCCTTTTAATACACGGCTTTAGCAGGATAAAGTGTCGAACTTCAACCACTCTGCATTGCTAAATGTGTTCATGTAAATGGCTAGTCTGCTTCTGGGAATGGGGTGTGAGGGGGGAGCGAGCAAGAGGAAACATCAGAGCTGGGCGAAGGAAGTGTGCAACAGTTCGGATTCTGCTCAGTGTGCAAATGCCGACCCTCACAGGCTTATTAGCATCCCTGCCGCAGTATCACCACTCCTTTTGACATGTTCCCAGAAGGGTAGCCCTGCTTTTGTGGAGGGGAAAAGCAATTCCAGCTGCCAGGAGCTCACATTTGAAACTGCTTGCTTCAGCATCTGGCTGTGTAAGATAACGCCCATTTCTGCCTGGTGATGCGGTGGCTCTCTGGCTCATGTTTACCCATATTGTTTTTTATGATGCAGAGCCTCCCTCCTCGGGCACCTATTGCCATGGCAGCAGTGTGCCACTTGGCAAGTGACACAAGCAGCTCTCCCTGGTGAGACTGGCATTCTGCCATGCTTTCTCTCCCAGGTGCGCTGAGGATGCCTGGCAGGGAGGGTGCCAATATCCTTGCTTTGCTGTTCAGGAGCAGGGCAGTCGCTGCTTCTGGAGATGGAGATCCTGCTGAGCGTTTGCCAGCAGATCCAAAGTTGTTCATGTGTGCCGTGCGATAAGAACAAAAGGATGAGGAATGGCACGACATGGTCTGCCTCTTCCGGGGAAGATTGTCCTTTTAAAAAAGAAAAATATTAGTTTTTTAGCATATCATTTTCAACAATTATTAAACATACTTTTATATCTTATACAATTTTTTTGGCTTCCATCAATCACATCTGAAAAATTTCCAATACTTTTCCTTTAATTTACATTTCTAACTTTCACTATTACATTTAAATAGTAATATCTCTCTTCTTTGCAATATTTCATATATTCCTCCTTACAAAACTCTACTAGCGTAATTTCTTGATTACAGTTGCTCTTCAAATAGTTCGTACATTTCTTCCAATCTTCTGTGAATCTCTGGTCCCGCAGATTTCGAATCCTTCCTGTCATTTAATCCAATTCTGCGTAGTCCATTAATTTCGTCTGCCATTCTTCTTTTGTCGGGATTTCTTCTTGCTTCCATTTCTGGGCCAACAAAACTCTTGCGGGGAAGATTGCCTTTTGATCCTGGATGTGGAACCTAGGAGGCTTCCTCGGGTTGAGTCAGACCATTGGCCCATCCAGCTCTGTTCTGTCCACACTGACTGGCAGCAGCTGTTCTGGGCTTTGGGCTGGACATCTCCCAGCTCTTCCTGCAGATGCCGGGGATTGAACTGCGATCCTTTTGCATCCAAAGCATGGGCTGCACTATGGAGCCACAACACTTCCTCAAAGGGCCCAGAACCAGCTTGTACTTTCCCTGAGTTGACATAGGACCCAGTCCAGATAAGCGCTGCTGCCAAACGGAAATCTCTTGGTGTTTTCTAAAAACAGCAAAGGGTCTTGTGGTTCTTCACGGACTGACAGGTTTATTGTGGACTGGAATCCGCTTCATCAGGTGCATGAAGCATTCTCTGCAGTTGGCTGGCTAATACATCACAAACGTGTAGAAAAAGAACCAGCAGCAGTGGCCTCCCTTTCGATGGCCTTTCCGGGAAAGATCGGAAGCTGCAGTCGCAGAGTGTACAAGATCAGAATACTGACCTCTTCACAACAGCAGTAATTGATGATAATGCTATCTTTCTAATCATGCTTTTGATAATTTAAAAGCTGCAACGTGAAGGAAATGCCTCCTTCAATAAAGCCTGAACTGAATAAATCTGATTTGCCGATAATCATTAGTGCGGAGTAACAGGAAAGAGTATATTATTGTCAATTGCTGCTGTTGTGAAAGAGTCACTCTCTTCTTATCTTGCATACATTTGGGTTCTGCATAGACCTACAGCAGCTATTAATTAATATGCCATGGCCTTTGGCCTCTCAGCTTGTCACACACACACTTTTAAGTGTGTGTGAGAGTGCACACACCAGCTGAGGACAGCGTTTCATGCATCTGGTGAAGTTTCTAACCCACAGAAGCTTATGTGACACCAAATCTGTTAATATTGAAAAGTGCCACAACTCTGTTGCAGCAAGATCAACACAGAGTGCTGCACAGTTGTCTTTCTGGAATCGGCCTTGTGTTTTCTAGCATCTTCTGGGCTAGGATCAGCCATAACCTGGCAGGTCATATAAGCTGCATTTACCTTCAATAATGATGATAATTTTATTAGTTATACCCTGCCCATCTGGCTGGGTTTCCCCAACCACTCTGGGAGGCTTTGTGGTAAAGAAAGACTTTGTCCACAAATCCCCTTGCTAGGGAAGGAAGGGAAATGCTCTTGAATGGGAAGCAATAAAGATTTCCTCATTTGAAATTGTTCCTTCCCGTCCCCGTGGATTTAATATACCTCGGTTTAAGAACAGTCCTGTTTACGAATGATTTGGTTTACAAACTCCACCACACCGGAAGTAGTGTCCCGGTTTGTGAACTTTATCTCGGTCTAAGAACAGAATCTGAACGGTGGAAGGGCACCAGTGGCTGGAGGCCTCAATAGGGAAAGCACGCCTCGGTTTACGAACGCACTTCCGGAACAGATTAAGTTCGTAAACTGAGGTACCACTGTATAACCTTACCCAAGAACACATGTACCTTGAGGCTAGAAGGTGCCAGCTTCACTATACAGTCTGCTATCTGAAAAGTGGTTGTATTGAGTGGGAAAATCTATGCTACACCTGACTGGAGAATAGAGAGTTGAGAAGTTGCCCCTATCCTTCAAGGCTTAGCTAGATACTTGCTGTTCTGGTACAGTATTTCTGTCTGTGGCAAACTGCACAACACCATGTGTTTGATCGCATTATAAGATGTTCCTGCATGTACACATACATATCACTGCTATCACTTTCTAATAGTTCTGTTGGAGCATAATGTCTAAACACCCCACTCCTCTTTCTGGTCAGGCTGTAGCCTTTGAACCCCTCTGGAGGGAAGCGGGCAAATGAGCCAGCTAGGATAGCTGCAACTTTCTGGAGTAGCTTTCTTGTCTTCAGCTGGCTTCCTGGAGAAACTCTTCAGTGTCCTTGTTCTGCCAGAGTCTCTGATTTTGTTCTCTGGTGCCAGGAATGTCGAAGTTTTGAAACGGATTGGAAGGAGCCTTGGAAAATCTCTGTGGCAATGCAAGGAGGAAAGGCTGAGAAGCCCAAGCAGCTCAGGGTTGGGCTGCCTGCCTTTGCCTTAAGAAGAGGACCAGGGTGAGGGTACAAAGCTGGGCATGATGTTGAGTGCATGATGCAAGAAATGAGCAGGGGGTGTTCCTGGAAACTGCAAGGAAGAGAGTAATGGTGGATTGAATGCATAGCTGAGGTTGGAAACTTGGGCTCCTTGACGCTGGAGGCTGCCACTAAGGAAATGGACTATATTACGCTCAAAATTCTGAGGCTGGTGTCTTAAGGCTTTGAAACAGCTTTTTCCTACTCCTCTTACATCATCTTTCCACTTCACATATGCAAGGCTGGAAAAATCCCAGTCATCTAGGCTTCTTGCAAACGTCTTTGACTCTCTCCCTCCTTCCCAGCTCTGCTACTTTGCATGTTGTGTTTTCCCCATATTCATCTAAGATGGGTTGTGCCAGGATTAACAGGGGCTGGCTGGGAAACGGTGGCTTCTATTTTGGCTGAGCATTAAGGGTATGCAACTTGGCCAGAATACAGAGAACTGTGAATCTCCTTCTCTGAACCCTTTGAGAGGGTTTTAAGCTGCCTTCCTTTCTGACATGGAAGTCCTTTCAACGTGGGACTTGGACCCCAGAGGGCATGAAATTTGGCCAGTGGCTTTGGACCAGTCACTGAGCGTGGAGCGCTCTCTTGAGCTCCTAGGAAGTGGGGCAGGTGTTGGTGAAGAAGTGCAATGGGGAATTGCTTTAAAAGATGGGCGATGATGAATCTAAAATCCCTTGACTCAATTGGCTGCACATTGCTTGTGTTGTGAGTTCTCTGCTGAAATGAAATCATGGCGTTCAGTAAAGAGCATGAACACCAACAGCTATTTTGTGCTTAGCATCCCTTTCCTCCCGCAATCATGATCATGACCAAGTCCAAAGAGTAGCACTGAGAGAGTGCTTTATGTCTCCCTGTTTGTTACACTGTGGGGTCCTACAAGAAACCACTCTATCCACAATGCTATTTAATATCTACAGGAAGCTGCTGGGAGTGGTCATTAGGAATTTTGGGACATACTGCCATCAGTATGCTGATGACACACAGCTCTTCTTCTCCATAACATCTGCATCAGGAGATGCCTTGCCATGCAGAATGAGGGAAAGTAAGCTGAGCTTGAATCCTGGCAAGATGGAGCCCTGTGTGTGAGTTATTGCCAGATCTGAGAAATTGGGTCAGTTATCTGCCATGGACAGGGTTGCACTATCCCTGAAGGAGCAGGAATGCAGTGGGGGGGGGGCGCAATTCTGGATCCATTCTGCAGCTCCTTCCCTTTAAATGAGCTTCAGCAACAGCACCTTGGTGGAACCTTTTTGGGACTCTTGGGCTTCCATAGACTCTGGAGACATCCTGAGTGCTGAGGTCTCATTCTGCCTGGGCATGTTTCCCCTTTGGGAGAATAATACTTTCAATAATACTTTCCTTTTCTTGGGTTTATCACTCAAGCTCCCGGGGTGTCTTTATGCAGAATTGGTGATGGGCAGATATCTCAGGCTGAAGTGTCTGATGGGAGCGGCACTCTTAGCTGAGCCCTCACTTCGCCCTGGAGTAGGAAATGGAAGAAAATAAGCAATTAAAGGACAATGGATGCGTCTGGAGCAGTTCCAATTCCCTCCTGAAATCCATCTGCTGCAGCATTCGCTGTTGCTCTCTGCTTGGCCTCCCGTTACAGTCTAATAATGTTAGTGGTTTAATAGTGACGGCTGCAGAAATTGCTGTGCAGGGTAGGGGACTTGGTACAAATGCATTGCAGGCTGGAAGCCCATATTTTTCCTCCTCTTCCATCCAACTCCCTGGGCTGTCTGGGGGGAAAAATATGTGGCACTTCAGGCTTAAATGCAAAAAGGGAGTGGCTGTTAATCTTTTCAGGACTCATGTGATCTCTGTTTTTTCCAGCTAGTCTGTTCGTCTGCCAGCACATTGGAGATGCAGTTGTGCTCTCTAGAGCCTGAGTAGACCAATGTTTCCCAAACTTAGGACTCCCAACTGTTTTCGAACTACAACTCCCATCATCCCTAGCTGGCAGAACCAGTGGTCAGGGATGATGGGAATTGTAGTCTGAAAACAGCTGAAGCCCCAAGTTTGGTAAACACTGAAGTAGACTCATAGATGATCCCATTGTTAAATGTTTGGGGGCCGTGCCTGCTGAAATCTTGATCTTAAATTAACAGATTATGTAGGATTCTGCAGTTCTCTCCTCTGCATTTTTTTATACCCAAAGCATCCTAAGTAAGCTGCGTCCAAATAGCAGAAGGCTGAGTGAAGAGAGACTAAACCCCTCCTCCACTTGGTTTTCCATCTCAATTCCTCCTCCCTGACCTGTGTTTTTACTTCCCAGGCGGGGAGGAGAGATGGAGGGCCCTTGATCTGAAAAAGCACCTTGGGGAGGACAGTTTGGGGCTGGGAAAGGGTTAAGCAGTCTATCCCCACTTTCCATACTTGTGGTCAGACAAGGCCTGTCCATGCTCCTTCCAGGCTTAAATTAACACAGTGGAAAGAATTTCAGAGTGCTGCAGAATGTGAGTGTGAGTCTTAGAAGAGCAGGAAGAGTTTCAAGTTGTTGGGGGGTGGGCTTTGAGTGATTGGCTTAGCTCCTTGTTCCTAACCATTGGGGGGGGGGAGTCAGAATATGTTATGCAAAGCAGTGCCAAATTGCAGTAAATAAGTAAGCAAACTTGCTCAGTTTGGATTGCAGAATTAAGCTCTTCTTACCCCAGAATTTGGCCTGTCTGGATGCAGAGCTGAATGTGGCTTGCAACAAAACCTCAGCTGTCCTGCATTAAATGGAGACGTGGGAACGGAGGCTTCGTATCCTAGGAAAAAAAGGTTCTTTAGAGAAATGCAAACTGAGTGTATCACAAAGCAAGAGAAAGTTTGTACTTCTGAATCGATTTACTACATGTACAGAATAAAATATCTGAACATTTGAAAGGTACCTTACCCTAGTCTCCCTGCTGCCTGCTTTGGTTTAGCAGCTACTCAGGCAGGGGTGTTTCCTGCTGCTGGCTCCAGGGATCTCTAGAGATGCCTGGGATTGAATGTGGGACCTCCTGCAGGGACCACGTCGCATGCTGTGTCCCTGAGCTGTGTCCCCCTTGGCAAGTTTTCTGGTGTAGCTTCCATATCCCCTTCTGCCAGAGAGAACATGGGCTTTGAACCCATGGCTGCAAACATCGCCAGCTGGGTAAGCCTCAACCACTGCACCACGGTTCCTTGGACATTTTCTTTTCTTTTTGATGGTGAGGATGTTGCCAAAACTTAGGCCATCAATGATCTTGTGTGGTGGCTGCGTTGGTGTTCTCTGCTTGCTGTTCTCTTTAATTGCATTTCACAGGCCCAGTTCTGTGTTTCAGCCGGTCAGGTCACCTATTAATACATTCAGCATCCTGGTCAGAGTTCTTCCATCTTCTGAAGCACGATGCGTATCCTCGAGGAGTGAGACTTACGTTGGTCTTGGCACCTGACCTCTCCCACGACCAGTTCACTGGGTCCCCTGCTTGATAACTTTGAGGAAACAATCAAAGAATCTGTTTATTTCTTTAGCTTTCAATGGGAATCCATCACTGCTGCCGAATGGTTTTGACTGTTTTCTTTGTTTAAACTTAGCTGTGTTTCGTATTGATTTTATGCCTTTCTGCTGTTGGCTACCTTGGGAGTCCCTGTGATTGAAAGGTGGGGGGAGATTTTACAATAATAAGTGTGTGCACAAACCAAGTTAAATGTCAGCCCTGGAAGGGCACTGCAGTGAGACATGGCTCATTTGGGAGGCAGGAGAATTCCCTTGCCTTATGCTGCTCATCGCAGTCAGTTCTTGAGGAATTGGAGGTTACTTGACCTTTGTCTGTAGCCAGACACCTTTTCTGGGTTGAATGTTGCATTTGCTTTGTGGTTTCTTCCTCCCCTGATGGCTCCACTTCCCAGGTTTGTCTTTTTTCTCCACTCCCAGGTGCAAATTTTCTCCTTCTCCAAACTCCTCTGACAGTCTTCCTTCAAATATCCATACTAACGTGGCCTCAGTGACTTAATGATACTTAATGCTCTGGATTCTGCCTACAGGTCCCGGCTGCTCTTCTTGAGATAAGAATCTATTTTTAAAGACAGCCTTTCTCTCGCTCAGGTAGAAGACTGGCTAAACCAATTAAACACATTAGGAGATAACCGTACATGTGGCTCTGGTTCAAGATGTCTGATTTCTGCACCGCAGGACATGTTTCAGTTGCCGACCTTCTTCCTTGTTACTTAGGCAGCTAACTAGATCTGCTAGGCGTCACCTGCTCTGCTTGTCATTCCTCCTCACCTGCTTCTGAATGATTTCCCCCTCTGCGTATTGTTCCTGGTCAGCTGTATGTACACAAGGCCCATTTTGCTCATGCTCTTCTCGACTGCTGTTTTCTTTTCTTCCTTTTTCTAAAAAAGAATTGCAGCTATTGAAAGATGTTTCTGCTGCCAAAGAGAGAGCAGCCTGTATCACAAGCTCTGTGGTGTAAATCCTCTTCACCAAACACTGGTGCTTCCCTAAACAGCAGCCTTCTGCTGAACCTTTGGGAGTAGGAACTGGGAGGTTGCAAGCTCAGTGATGGAGCCCCTGCCTCGTACGCGGAAGATCCCAGGTCCGCTCTCCTGACATCTCCAGCTAAAAAGATTGAAGCTTTCGGAGAGTGGCTGCAGTCAGAGTTGAATTGTATTGGTCCAGATCAGCAGTTCTCAACCTCTGGGCCCCAGATGTTGTTGGACTACAACTCCCATCATCCCTGAGCTCTGGCCTTGCTAGCTAGGCATGATGGGAGTTGTAGTCCAACAATATCTGGGGACCCACAGGTTGAGAACCGCTGGTCTAGATGAACTTAGTTGAACTTAGTATAAGGTGGCTTCATAGAAATACTTTAAAAAATAACAACTCAAAAAGCAGCTTGTAGTTGGAGCAACAGGAATGTTGCTCAGTTTCCCTCAGCTGCTGTGGGAGAGCACTCTCCAAAAGTCAAAGCACCCATGATTTCTTGTGTGGAGAAGGACTGTACTCAGAGTTAGAGCACATGGTTTGTATGCAGAAGGTCCCATGTTCACTTTTGGCATCCCCAGTTTGAAAATAAGGACCGGGCAGCCAGCGTGGGGCCGTTTTCTTCCCTGAACCCCATGCCAAAAAAGAAAATACTGGATTAGATGGATATGGGAGCCAGACATAAGGAAGTTTCCTTTGTTCATGGGAGCTGAATGTTGCTGTTCATTTTCAGTTTTGGTCCATTTGATTCTTGGTGCCACAGGAGGCCTTTGTCCCTAGAATAAGGGCGTGCTCGGTATCGTTCCGCAATGCTGCTGCTTTTTTCCTTAATTGCCTTGCAAACAGAAATTGGATGAATCTCCGTGATGCAGAAACAGGGAAAATTCTCTGGCAAGGAACAGAAGACCTCTCCATCCCTGGAGTAGAGCACGAAGGTACTGTTGAGCCACTTCCCGGTGGTTTGTGCGTGAAGGATCCTGAAATACTGAGCAGGTTCAGCACTGTTTGATGGGGTGCTGTCTTGCGCTGGGCGATATCTGGTTTTCAATATAACGATATATCACCAGCTAAATATCACAATATCTCAATATATCATGATATATATATGTGGCGGAGGGCCTTAAAATGTAAGGAAGTAGTAGATTTAATAAATATATTAAATAAACTTCCATATACCATTCTTTTCCGTCTATAAGGCTAGGGTTTTTTATTTAAAAATTATGTTCAAAATTGTGGGTCGTCTTATATACACGGATGCAATTTAGATTGGCTTGCCATCTAAATTTTTTACTCCCGAAAGGTGAGGTACGCTGTCATTCAGTGAGATATTTCCAGGATGATGCAGTTCTTGAGCAAGGGTGTATATCTAGGAAGACACACCAACTTTGGCTTTAAGTGTGAAGCAATCCTAAGTGTTCACTCTTGCTTTGTGAGCTTAGCCAGTGTTGGCGGACTCAGGAAATTCTAATCGGTCAAAAAGGGAGGAAAAGGGTAGACCCTCCACGGCTTGAGAAAGCCCACCCCTTTTGTTCTCCGGGGCCTTTTTGTCCCTTCCTACTGTACTAGCATTTTGTGCTTTGCTAAGGATATTTGTGGACATATCTAGTAATGTGAGGCCAGATGGGGGCCAGTGCACTGGCAAGCCATTAATCTGGCTTTTTGCTTTGCTCTCCCCCCCCCCCCCAAGATCCACTTTAGCAGATCCCTTGGCCTTTTTATGCAGTGCTTTTTGCGGGAAATCACTGTTCCTAACCTTAATAACTTAAAAGCGGATCTGATACCTCCTGAATCATGCCTCAGTTGAAAGGCTAAAAGAAGTCATTAACGCCTCCCCCCCCCCCGCCCCAGGGAATGGATTCAGCCACAAAGATAACTCAGCAATACCCTTTTTGCCCGTGCTGGCTTCTTGTCTTTGGAATCACGGGACTTCTCTCCCTTTTGGAACTTGGTAGTCACAATCCTCTCCCTCTTTACATTGTCAAAATACCAGTTGATGCAGCGCTCATCAAGAACACATCATTGAAACTCTCCTGACCCTCAATGGCCTGAGTCCGATTGGTGGCGTCTCTGAGTCACGAAGCTTTAAGCACTTTGTGTGCTGGTTCGCAAGGCTTGGGTCTGTTCTTTCAGCATGTGCTGAGTATGGAAAGCCTGGTTTGGTAGCCCAGACCCGTGTACCCTGAAAAAGATGCAGGTTCAGTGGTTAGACGCAGAGACCTATAAGCAGCTTACTTCATGGAAGCGCTTTTTGTGGAGGGAAGCCCTCGTGGCCTGAAGTGACCCTTGGAACAGTGGTTCCAATCATCTCTGTCCTCAGGGAACGCCTTCTGCATCCACTTCTCTGATATGATGCTGCCGCCTTTGCAGAACATTCGCAGGAAGGGTCTAGAGAGTGTGCAGTTTCCAGAGAGTCGCTGAACAGACCTTTGGGGGCTCCTGTTTCCCCACATGAACCAAGAAAGGGCCCCTGGAACAGGCATGAGCAGCCTTCAGGCTTGCAGGGTCCAATTTGGGTTTTACTAGACATGGGTGGTGCTGTGGGTTAAACCACAGAGCCTAGGGCGAAGGTCGGTGGTTCAAATCCCTGCGATGGGGTGAGCTCCTGTTGCTCTGACGCTGCTCCTGCCCAGCTAGCAGTTCAAAAGCACGTCAAAGTGCAGGTGGATAAATAGGTATCGCTCCGGCGGGAAGGTAAACGGCGTTTCCATGCGCTGCTCTGGTTCGCCAGAAGCGGCTTAGTCATGCTGGCCACATGACCCAGAAGCTGTACGCTGGCTCCCTAGGCCTATAGAGCGAGATGAGCTCCGCAACCCCAGAGTCGGCCTTTACCCTTTAGACCCCTGAAGTCCACTGACTGGAGTCCATGTGCAAATCAGCCATGGAGAAAGGAAAAGTAGCAGATGGAGACAAGACTGGAACTATGGTACCCCTTAAGCAATTAGAAGTCAGAAATGAACAGCACCTATTTCAGAAGTCCAATTTGCCTCCTGCCCTCTCCCTTTCCTGGAACACGCGCAGTATCTCCCCTGTGGCCGCATGCTTCGGGAGAGCCATGACAGGTCTGCTGCCGGTCAGGGAAGTCTGTCAACGGTGGCTGATCTCAATCATAAGTTTCCAAGGGGCCTTGAGGTTGCTGCAAACACCCTTTGAAAACCATTGTCTTAGAAAAAAATTATGTGATGCAGCTGGGCCAAAAAATGTCTGGTAGCGCCTGCCCTGTTTAGAGCTGGGCTGTATGTTGGTAAATTGTCTGAAACCAGTATATATGGCGTTCAGATCGCAATACCAGTATCAGACATTTTGAGCTGGCAAGGGAGCTTCCTGCCCCCCCCCCCCAGCTGAGCAGTTTAAGGAAGCCTCGTGTAACCCGGAGAGGTATTGGGGCTTGCTCAGTAGGGCTGGGGGATGTATCTCGCCTCTTCTTCCTCCTCTAAGCAGCCAAGGTACATTCCGGACATTGTAACATATCAGCATATTGTGGTCTTTAGCTGCTGATATATCACAATTTTGAAAACCAGATAACCCCCAGCCCTAGTCCTGATTGTCTCGTGTGTGTAGTGTAAGCCCAGCCTGCTTGACCAACACACTGCATTTAGTCATTTATGACACGTCAGTCATTTGTGGCATTTAGTCATTTATGGTTCCTTTCTTGGTCACTTTCCTGATGCAGGAGATCAGATGAGTGGTCTGTCTGAAAGTGCTTGAGGTTACAGCTGGGGTGGGTAGGAGCGAAAGAGGCCCAGGGCTCCTGTACCTTTAATTGCTAAAAAACAAACAAACCCCAAACTCTCCTTTCCTACACAACTATTAGAGGTGTAAGAGCCTAGGCCTTTTTTGCATCAGACTGCCCTAGTTATAACCTGTTGCATGTGTTTGCTTCACAAAAGTCAGACGTGTATTTTTCTCCTCTTTTTGGACCTCAGTGCCTTTGGCAACAGCAGGGTTTGTCCTACTACTCAGAATGATAATCTAATTTCCCCCTTTCTCTCTGCTAGCTCGAGTTCCTAAGAAAATTCTGAAATGCAAGGCTGTATCTCGGGAGCTAAACTTTTCCTCGACTGAGCAGATGGAGAAATTCCGACTGGAACAGAAAGTGTATTTCAAAGGACAGTGTCTAGAAGGTAATGTTCTGTTCTGTGAGTAGCTGTAGGTGATGTCTAACAATATGGAAGGAAAAGCAGATCTTAGATTGGGAGAAATGGTTCTCTGCAACAGATAAAGCTTATGACCTGTAGGGTAGAAGTCCAGATTTGCTTCCCAGTCTGTTGCTTAGGTGGGTGATATCGGGGGTGAGGGGAGAGAGAAAGATGGAATTAGAGCATTTGCAATAACTGTCCCCTTCTTCCCTTTACAGAATGGTTCTTTGAGTTTGGCTTTGTGATTCCCAACTCAACAAACACTTGGCAGTCCTTGATAGAGGCCGCTCCTGAGTCACAGATGATGACCGCTAATGTTCTAACGTGAGTTGTCACATATATCTAGTACCATTTTTCTTGAAAAAGAGGTGCCGGAACTCACCATGAACACCTCCCTCCCTCCCTTAGAATGGCAGTGGCGCTCACCTGAGAGGTGCTGACTTGAGTTCCGGCTGGAAAAAAGCCCTGCATATAACACACACTGCAGAAAGATAGATCCAAGGGCTGCCTGGAGTGTGGAGCGGGCTGGGCTGACAAAGCATGTCAAATTCAGTGGTGCCAGCGTAAAGCTATTCTGTGGCCGAAGGGGTCAGAATTATGCTCCAGACCATTGAGCTCAATGCCCTGTGCAGCAGACGAATTGGCTTCTGCAGAGCCTAGGGAGGGATCTGTGCACCCTGAACCACCCACTAGAAATTTAAATTGAATTGAAATACTTTATTGTCCCTTGTACAACTTGTATACAGTGAGATTACACGACCACGCCCCACTCAGCTCTCTTCGTCTTAATTCCCCTCGTTTACTGCCGCACACCCACCAAACCCGAAAGTCAGTTGCCCTGTTATCTTTTCATTCAGCAGCCTAACAGCCCACGGATAGAAGCTGTTCTTTACCCTGTTGGTGCAACTAATCATGCTTCTGTATCTTCTGCCCGAGGGCAGGAGATCAAGAAAGTGCCGGCCAGGGTGTGAATCATCCCTGAGAATTTTCCTTACTCTCCTGAGGCAACGTTCTTCTGCCATTTCATCCAGCGGATTCACGGGACAGCCCATAATATCTTGTGCTGTATTCACCTGGCTTGAGAGCAGTACATGTGAAAAGGATCTAGGAGTCTTGGTTGACCACAAACTTGACATGAGCCAACAGTGTGACGCGGCAGCTAAAAATGCCAATGCAATTCTGGGCTGCATCAATAGGAGTATAGCATCTAGATCAAGGGAAGTAATAGTGCCACTGTATTCTGCTCTGGTCAGACCTCACCTGGAGTACTGTGTCCAGTTCTGGGCACCATAGTTCAAGAAGGACACTGACAAACTGGAACGTGTCCAGAGGAGGGCAACCAAAATGGTCAAAGGCCTGGAAACGATGCCTTATGAGGAACGGCTAAGGGAGCTGGGCATGTTTAGCCTGGAGAAGAGGAGGTTAAGGGGTGATATGATAGCCATGTTCAAATATATAAAAGGATGTCACATAGAGGAGGGAGAAAGGTTGTTTTCTGCTGCTCCAGAGAAGCGGACACGGAGCAATGGATCCAAACTACAAGAAAGAAGATTCCACCTAAACATTAGGAAGAACTTCCTGACAGTAAGAGCTGTTTGACAGTGGAATTTGCTGCCAAGGAGTGTGGTGGAGTCTCCTTCTTTGGAGGTCTTTAAGCAGAGGCTTGACAACCATATGTCAGGAGTGCTCTGATGGTGTTTCCTGCTTGGCAGGGGGTTGGACTCGATGGCCCTTGTGGTCTCTTCCAACTCTATGATTCTATGATTCTAAGTGCATTACACAGAGTGCCCGTGAAATGTTGAAAATGCCCAGCGGAATTCACTCACTCCAGGACACAAAGAGCAAAATATCACCAAAATATCACCACCCTCTGTAGGCACTTCCTATCAGATGATGTCAAACCAGCGTACCACACATAGAAATCTTGCTCACGCGGCGTCTGAGAGTTCAGGCGTTGCTCTCGCACTTCCAATCATAGAGTTTCCCCCAGCCTTGAGGCCTGCAAACCTGCTTCTTACTCAGTGAGCCTGGCCTGGTCTAAGATGTCTTTGACACTTCCTATGTTCTGCAGTGGGATGTGTGCACCTGTTTTAGAAGGCCTTCAGAAGGCTTCCACCTACCCCAGTTAGCTCTCCTGGGAGCTCCTTCGCCTGAAGGCACCTCAGAAGCAGGTGTTGCTTAGCCCCAGTGCATCTCTGCCTCCCAGCATGTAGGTTTGTTTTACACCAAGTCTCCAAAAATATTTCAAAGCATTTATCATCACGTACCATTTTTTCTTTTCAGCATACAAAATCTCTTCTTGATTTCCCACCCCTCCTTTCCTGATGTTTGTTTTCTGCTCCTAGCTGTTTTATAGCACATAGATGGGATGCGGGTGGCGCTGTGGTCTAAGCCACTGAGCCTCTTGGGCTTGCCGATCAGAAGTTTGGCGGTTTGAATCCCCGCAATGGGGTGAGCTCCTGGGGCTCTGTCCCAGCTTCTGCCAACCTAGCAGTTTGAAAGCACGCCAGTGCAAGTAGATAAATAGGTACCGCTGCGACGGGAAGGTAAATGGTGTTTCTGTGCGCTCTGGCTTCCATCACAGTGTCAGAAGCGGTTTAGTCCTGCTGGCCACATGACCCAGAAAGCTGTCTGTGAACAAACACCGGCTCCCTCGGCCGGAAAAGTGAGATGAGTGCCGCAACCCCATAGTTGCCTTTGACTGGACTTAACCGTCCAGGGGTCCTTTACCTTTACCTATAGCATGTATATTTTTATTGTCTAAACCCCGTCACCGTTAGATCTTTCAATAATCCACTGCTTATATTTCAGATCCTGCCCGCGACTTCATATAGGGGTGACAATTTGATAGATAATCCATCAGTAGTCTCCATTCTTCCTTAAACACTTTGTCCTTATGTCCTCTTAATTTGGCAGTTCATTTCACCATTTCAGCATAGTCCATCATTTTCATAAGCCATTCCTCTAGCTTGCAGTTTTAAGAGCAGCCCTTTGATTCTCCGCTTCTTGTTCTCCCCTGACCCCCCCTCTTCTCTCTCTGCAGCGGGAACGTTATCATAGAAACCAAGTTTTACGACGACGACCTCCTCGTCAGCACGTCAAGAGTAAGACTGTTCTACGTTTGAAAGAAGGCCCCAGCAGGGCGGGGCATGGGCCTGGTTTAGTTCTCCCCCCCCTCACCTGGTTCCTGGTGCCGAATCCCCAGCCCACATCCAAAAAAGTGCCCCGTGGAAGAATCTCTCTCTCTCTGTCTCTCTCTTCCCGTAGGCGCTGAGCCCAGGGACCAGCTCGGCGCGAGTTGCAGCCTTGGCCCATTCTCTCTGCTCTTCTGGCTGGATGAGGCCGAGCCGCAACACGGCGTGTCACCATCTGCTCAGAATGGGGTGGGGGGTAGAAGAGGGATGGAGGACTCTGTTTTATTAGAGACCCAAATGGGCATGAAGGATCAAGACTGTAAATTATGTTTAGGTTTTTTTAAAAATCCTTTGTATGTCTCTGTATCTTAGTACCCCAGCTTCCCCTCCTTGGCAGGCTGGAAAAACGCTTCAGTTCTCCATTGTTCTGTTTGTCAGTTCGGTTTTAAGTTAACTCTCTCGCTCCTTCTCCCTTCCTATCTCTCTGTCTCTCTTTTTCTCTCTCTCAATTCATTCCATCTCTTTATTTCTACATAGGGGGCCCAAACATCATCACGTCCCTCCCGCACCCCTTCGCTCCTTAAACTTGTAAAATAGACTGATATTATTACATAATGTAATTAAAATAAAACATTTCTGAATTAAAAAGCAAGCATTCCTACCACTCGGAGGTCCAGGTGAGACTTTAATCCTCTCTGGCTCATCCCCTCCTTGACCAGCTGAGTCCAAAGACAAGGACATAAAAAACGATATTTGCAGGCCGGAGACTGGCATGGTGCAGGGTGTGAATGGAGGGAGGGTTTTCTCTGCTTAGACGAGCGGGGAGGCTTGCGAAGGAAGGATAACTGCTCCTTCATATACCAGAGAGGTTGAAGGTGGGTGGCAGAGCACCTGCCTTTCATCCAGAAGCCCCCAGATTCAATCCCTGGCTGCATCTCCAAGTAAGGATGGGAAAAGACTCCCTGGGCTGCTGTTGCTAGTCAGTGCAGAGGATATAGAACTAGTACGATATGATAATCTTTATTATCATTGTCCCATACAGAACAACGAAATTGAAAAAATCTACATCAGACATTCAAACACCAACAAGCCTGCTATCCCAGCCTGGTTAGCCTAAAAACTCTGATACCCCATAATTAAATACAATATACTCCCATAGAGACTTCCTTACGCTGCGTTTAAAACCAAAATCGCATTTGGATAGAAACTGTTTCTCAGGCGGCTAGTCCTAGTCTTTATAACCCTGTACCTTCTTCCAGAGGGACGCAGGTGGCGCTGTGGGTAAAACCTCAGCGTCTAGGGCTTGCCGATCGCATGGTCGGCGGTTCGAATGCCCACGGCGGGGTGAGCTCCCGTCTTTCGGTCCCAGCTCCTGCCCACCTAGCAGTTCGAAAGCACCCCTAAGTGCAAGTAGATAAGTAGGTACTGTGTTATAGCGGGAAGGTAAACGGCGTTTCCGTGTGCTGCGCTGGTGCTGGCTCGCCAGAGCAGCTTCGTCACGCTGGCCACGTGACCCGGAAGTGTCTCCGGACAGCGCTGGCCCCCAGCCTCTTAAATGAGATGGGCGCACAACCCTAGTGTCGGACACGACTGGCCCGTACGGGCAGGGGTACCTTTACCTTTACCTTTACCTTACCTTCCTCCAGAAGGCAGAAGCTGAAAGACATCATTTCCGGGGTACGCACTATCCTGCACTATCTCTGCAGCTTTCTTATGACACCTGGAAGCATAGATTTGATCCAAGGTGGGAAGAGTGCACCCAATTATTCTCTCCGCAGTCTTTACAAACCTGGGCAGCATTGCTTTTTCCCCAGATAGACCAGGGTAGCTTCCTGTGTCCGTGGAAGGCTGGCCATCGCTTGACCTCAGTGCCTTGGAGAACTTTCCACCTGTGGAGGTGGATGCATATTGGGACACGTTGCCTAGAGCATAGAAAGAAACAGGGCAGGTAGAGCAAACATATTAGGTCTGTCTTGGGCAGCCTGGGCCTTCCAGAGACTTATGGGCCACAACTCCCAGCAGGAGTTGAGGCCTGCCGAGTGCTGTGGAGTGACAATCTGGCCCAGCCCTTGAACTCAGGCTTCTCGGCTTGAAGTTACCTGCTTCTGCTTTTCTGTCCCAGCGGAAGGCATCCAGGTAAGATGTAAGGTGGGCCATTGCTCCTTTCTGAAGGACAAGCCATGCTCAGGGCAGGAAGTCGGGAGCCCTAATGGCCACAGCTTGTTCTTCCTTTTCCTTTGGGAAATGCCACTGCCTTGCCTACAGACTTCACCTCCCTCCGTGTTCTGTAGGCCCCAGGCAGCTTTCTAAGAAGGGCGAGAAGGGCGGTACGCTGGTATCAGTTGCGCTGGTAACTAAGCACAAGCACATTTCTTTATCTGAAAACTTTCAACGACCCATTGGTAGAGCCGTTTGTCTCTTGCATCTCTGTACGTAAACTTGGCACATCGCCTCGTGCGGATACCCGACTGACCTCCTGTGAGGGCAGGCAGTCCTCTTTCTCTGAATCTGAAAAAGCTGATCTCACCTGCTGCAGGGAGAATGTGGAATTCTTTGGCGCTGGGGAAGGCTGGCTAGAAAGGGGGCGGATCAGAGCTTTGCCTTTTGCAGACACACTTGCACAGGCTGTGGAACGAGGGGCTGGTTGTGTGTGTGTGTGAACTCCCCTGGGCCATTAATTAATATTTTTGTGGCACCCCAGCAGTTCAGCTACTGGCACATGCTTTAACCAACTGTTAGCCTACTTTTTTCTCCCCCCTTTAGCATTAGACACTTTTTTAAAAAAACCCAGTTGAAACAATAAAATTGAAGTAGTAAGACAAACATGTTGCCAACTCATAGCTCCTCCAGGCTTCTTTCTCTCCCCCCACATCTCAGGTGGTGGAACAAAAAACAGGCTCAGCTGTGCTGGGGAAAGGCGTCCTACTCTAGAGGTGCTCCAAATAGCGTAAGCGCTCCAGTGGGTGGAGAGGGGGCAGGTGCAGCTGCGGTCAGAGCGCCTAGGGGGAAACATGCAGGAAAAGGTTATTTTTTTGAGACCTGCAAGAACAGAATAGTCTCCTGTCACAGTGGCCGAGAGGGGTACCCCAGTGGGAAACCCCAAAAGTGCAACAGCCCTGTCCCCAGATAGCAACGAGCCACTTGGGGCAGAGCACTGAGACCATAACCCCCCCCCCATTGCACAGAGCGTATCTCCAAGGGCCCCCGTTGCAGAAATGAAGGCAGGGGGTCTTGCATAGCAGCGGTTGTGTCTCTGTGGTGCATTGTGCGCCCTCAGCCTTCTGAAGCCTGATTATCCCGCCACAGCGAGGCAGGCTGCGGGCTCCTCTGTGGCTTTCTAGAAGTGGCTACGTAACTCTCCCCTGCTCTCGTCGGTTCCTATAGAAACTGCTTCCCCGGCGACTTGCCTCCTTAGAGGGCTGCCTTAGTTCCACGCTGTTGCCATGGCGCTGCCTTTGCAACAGTCCCATCGGAAATTCAGGCGGGAGCAGCTGTTTGTGGGCCTGGGTCACTGGGTGAGTTGCAGAAATAACATCCGTGTGCATGTACAGAGGGGGCAGCTAGGGCAGTTGCCTCCATTAAGTCCTCTGAGTGACCTCCCCTGGGGCATCTAAGTGGCCACCGTTGGAAAGGCAGAGCTGGACCACGTGGTCTGATCCAGCAAAAGCAAGGAAGATGGACAGAAAAGCGACCGGGACATCTGCAACCGGCTTTACGTTCTTCCATCGAGAAATGGAATTTGGACCCCACCAGCTGCCACACCAAGCCCCACGTGGTCTATGCTCCGAACTTCAGAATTTAGAGCAATCTTAGTTAATCTGGAATGTCTTCTGCGCATTCACACATGCATCCTGACTTGCTAGGAGCAGAGCCCACAAGAGTCATGAAGGCTGTTAAACTGCCTCTGGCTGTCCAGCACTCGCCTTCCTGAACATCCTTGCCTCGCGCTGTCCCCTCGGCTCAAGCCACTGCCGACAGAACTCTCCCAACCCAGCTGGCTGCCATTGGCTTAGCTGCTGTGATGTCACAGAAATGCTGTTCTGCCTTGGGTCAGGCAGCTTAGGAGGACTTGAGACAGAATTCCAAGTTGCCTCAACAAGTTGCACCATATGTTTTGGGTCAGATCAAGTGTGGGGGGGGGGGTTGGAGCCGTAGTGGGTATCTTCAATAACCACACTATTGTGATGTTTAAGGCAACTTTACTTGGTTATAGCAGTGGGGAAACTCACAAAAGTGGGGTTTTCAGGACTAAAAATTGCACAGGCTGATAATAGAGGCAGTCCTTCACCTTAGCTTTTACACCTGCATTGAAATTGTCATGTTCTCATAGGAAAAGCATGCCTGCGTTATCTGAGCTGCACTCCTGATTTGCAGAGAAGAATAGGGTCCCTCCTTTATTTCTGGCTAGCCTAAGGCTGAGTTTTACCTGCAGAAGCATTATTGACTCAGCCTGCATGAGCAGATTCTCCTACTAATATCCTCCTTTTACAGTTTTTACATATCTCCCCACGCAGGCTATCCATCAATGCACACACTACAATTTCTGCTTACAGGCCCTTTTGAATAAAACAGGATGCTTGCTGTTGATGGGTCAGAGGGTGAACGTGGCCTCGAATGTGGTGGCACCTGCTGAACTCCGAAGGCGAATGAAAAGCCTCCGGAACTGTTGTCGCTGCCTCTGAAATCATTTGCGAGAGGGAGGCACACAAGCCTCTCCAGGGCCACAGAAAGTTTTTGCCCGCTAACATCCTGGAGGAGAAGCGCAGCTGTGGCAGGAACTGTCACAAAACCATTGTGAGAAATCCACTCTTGTGCAAACCATAAAACATGCCATATAGGATCCGTAGGGGACTGGATTGCAAGCGGCTAGAGAACCAGGATTCAGCTTTTCTTTTATATAACTAGAAGCCTAATGATACAGTTCTCTCTGGGTGAGGTGAAAAGCCCAGGCAGGTAATGAGCTGGTGGAGCGTTAATGGCTTGGGTTGCAGGGAAACTCATTTGGTGCTTAGCTTGTTTCCTAATTAGCTGCAGGGTGGGGACAGTTTACATCAGGCCAGCAGCATTGCAGGGTGCAAGAGTTAACGCAATCAGCACTGTAGCCCCAGTCCTGTTCAGCGCACATCCAGAACTGCCCCAGAAGGAAAACTTCCTTTCCGTGCTAATCTAATAATAATAATAATAATAATAATAATAATAATAATAATAATAAATTTTATTTATACCCTGCCCTCCCTGGCCAGAGCTGGGCTCAGGGTGGCTAACACCAATAAAACCACAGTAAAAAACATAATGGGGGGGACCAATTTAAAATACAGGTTAAAATGCAATTTAAAATGCAGCCTCATTTTTAAAGTAGCCCATAAATCAAAACCGTAAGGGGAGGGCAACATAAGAGTCCAAACCAAAGGCCAGGCGGAACAGCTCTGTCTTGCAGGCCCTGCGGAAAGATGTCCAGTCCCACAGGGCCCTAGTCTCTTGTGACAGAGCGTTCCACCACGTCGGAGCCAGTGCTGAAAAAGCCCTGACCCTAGTTGAGACCAATCTAACCACCTTGCGACCTGGGACCTCCAAAATGTTGTCATTTGTGGACCTTAAGGTCCTCTGCGGGGCATACCAGGAGAGGCGGTCCCATAGGTACATGGGTCCTAGGCCCTAATCTTGCATCTCCCACTAATGGTCCACCCACCCTTGCCCTTTGGCTTTTTCCCGGTCTGTGTCTGAGTGCTATTTATATTTTCCCCCACTGCTTTCCCCCACAAAAACCAATTTTTTGCCGCTGAATCGGAGAAAACAGCACTTTGAGTTTCCTGCAGATTGCTGTTGGTTCCGATTCAGTGGTAAAGAGCAGGTTTTCCTGGGGAAAGATGGGCAAAAAGATTTTTAAAAGTGCTTGGATGCAGACCTGGAAGCCTCAGACCTGTGCCTAGAAATGCAGAAGAAATATAAGTATGCACAAGCCCTAACTCAGTACTGACCTTGGTCTCAGCACCGTATTTACATTGAATATTAAGAAGGTGGGGGAAGTACCTCTGCTGGGGACGATGACAACACCGTGCTCCTGGGGGAGTTTGTCCCCCTTTGGTCCCCACCCCGCACTCTGCTCTCACCTGTGGCTCCTAGAGGCTGTCCGCATGTGACAGCAGCCACATCCCAGGAAATGGCTTCGGCTGGCTGGTTAAACCAGGTTAGAGGAGCCGAAGGGTCTCAAATCCTTGGGAAGTTAGGGGCTTCTCCTGCATGCGAAGAAAGGCTCTGGCGGATTGAACGGATGAGACTAAGAGTGCACCCAACGGTCAAGAAGGTGATTTCTGTACATGCTGTAGTAAAGGGAAGTGAGGCACAGATGGGGCTCGTCAACCTGGGAAGGTGGCCCATCTAGGAGAAGGAAAACTCTGGTCCTAAATCTCCGCTGCCTTGCAGGATATCTTTGGGAGAAGAAAAGGCTAAGGAGTAAACCCTACACTTAAACCACAGAGCCTAGGAATTGCTGATCAGAAGGTCGGCAGTTCAAATCCCCGGGACGGGGTGAGCTCCCGTTGCTCGGTCCCTGCTCCTGCCAACCTAGCAGTTCAAAAGCACGTCAAAGTGCAAGTAGATAAATCGGTACCACTCCGGCGGGAAAGTAAACGGCGTTTCTGTGCGCTGCTCTGGTTCGCCAGAAGCGGCTTAGTCATGCTGGCCACATGACCCAGCAGCTGTACTCCGGCTCCCTCGGCCAATAAAGCGAGATGAGCGCCGCAACTCCAGAGTCGGTCACGACTGGACCTAACAGTCAGGGGTCCCTTTACCTTTACCTTTAAACCCTACACAAATCTGGAGTGGAGACCCTGGGCGCCTGGTACGCCTCCTTCCGGCAACTCCTGCAGACAAGCTAGTGCAGGGGTCAGCAAACTTTTTCAGCAGGGGGATGGTTCACTGTCCCTCAGACCTTGGGGGGGGGGGGCAGACTATACTTTGGAAAAAAAAATATGAACAAATTTCTCTGGCCCACAAATAACCCAGAGTTGCATTTTAAATCAAAGGGCACATTCTACTCATGTAAAAACACGCTGATTCCCAGACCGTTCACAGGCCAGATTTAGAAGGTGATGGGGCTGGATCTGTCTCCCGGGCCTTAGTTTGCCTACCCCTGAGCTAGTACCAAACATATTTCTCCGCTTTCCTTTGGGCCCCATCAGCGAGGTTGAGAGCAGGGTCTTGTTGCTGGCCAGCCCAGGACTTCCAGACACACTGTCCAGGCTTGTAGCCCAGAGAAATCACTTTGGTGCTGTTAGTAACAGCAGTTTGGCTTCACCCGCAGATGCACACTCCATTGTCTCACTCCACACTCCACAACAATTGCCTGAGAAAAGCCTTGTTGCATTATGTAACAGGGTCTGCCTAGGCCACTCTCCTGGCTACTCCCTTTAGATGATTCTGCAAAGCCCAGGCAGGGTATGCGAGGAATACCTTGCTGGTAGCTCAGTTGCACAACATCTTTCTTGCAGAAGGTACCTCTGACATTTCCAGGTTGGGCTGGGAGAAAACTGCTGTCTGGGATTCCAAAGAGCCGCTGTTGATCCTTCCTGTGCCGTTTGCTCTCCCAACGACTGGAATAGAGGCGTCTGTCTCTGAATACAGAGAGTCCATTTAGCTATCCTGGCCATTAGCTCCCAATAGTCTGTTCCTCTTACATACGTTTGTCTAATAAAAGCCATCAGCCGCTGCCACCTTTTGGACTCGGAGTAACTTTTAAAACCTAAATCCACTAAATGCGACTTTAGGAGAAAAAACCCGCAGCAAATCCGCTACAGCCTTTTTTGAAGTCGAATAAGCCCACAACTATGAACTTTTGCGCAAGGCAGCAAAACATTTACTAGGACATAAAAAGGAGTGAAAAGGCAGCCCAAAAGGTAATTGTCACGCAGGTTGATAATATTGATCTGCTTTGCAGCTTGGTTGCTAGAGATGACTAACCTGCCTTGAACCTCTTTATTTTAAATGAATGCCAGGCAGGGCCTGGGGGGAGCAGGGCAGCCCTGCAGGCTCAACCTCAGCCCCTGTCTCCGCCTCACCTCCTTTTTTCATCTCTCTGTTTCTCCACTCTGTGTGTACCTGCAGCCCCTGAGAAGCATCTCACTTCTCAGCCAAGCCAATGAAATTATTGCAGTTGGGGCAAAATGGGTGGCCTTTTCCTCCTTGAAACTCCTTTGCAGTGTGTGTGCCGGGGCAGAGCATGCATACCTGCCCCTTGTTCATTTCATTTTTTAAACTTACACCCTGCCCTTCTTCCCAAGAAAGGCTAGGACAACAGCAGCACAAAAGTGGAAAAAACCCATATTGTAAGATAGATAGATAGTGAAATATACTCAGAGTTGAGAGTGGATTTCATGCTCTTTATTCAGCTCCTAGTGGTGAGGAGGAATGGAAGTTCCCCCAGAATGTCTGCCTTATATACATTATTTACACAATGGGCCCCATGTGATTGGCTAATTCCGGGCTTCTCCTGTAGGCCAATCAGGTTGCGGATTCACTTCCACCTGGAGCTGGATTGGGTGGCTCCTGCGGACCAATCAGACTGCTGCATTCTGAATCCTATTGTTCTAGGACCAATCAGACTGCTGCCTTTTGGATCCTATTCAACTCAGTACATAACAGATAGGTGATAGATAGATAGATGGTATAAATATAGATACTGTGTGTTTTTGTAATTTCAGCTAGAAATTTCAAGGCTGTTAGGAACAGTATCTTTCCTAACAGTATCTTTCAGCCATCAAAAGCCTGATTGAACAGGTCTTTTTTATTTTTTAAAAAATCAGATGACCCAAGGGGTCATCTAGTCCAACCCCCCTGCAATGCAAGGATCAATTCCTCTGGGAGGCTTATAAAGGAGGAGGCAGATGCATCGCAGCAAGGAAGGAAGGCCTCCAATAGGGAACCACCACTGAGAAGGCCTTGCAGTGATCCCATCAAGTTGTCTTAAGTTTTCGCAGCGTGATTTGCAAAGAGCGGCAAGGCAGGGTGGGGGTAAGGCTGCTGCCCCCCTGTTCTGCCTCCCCTGTGCTAAGGCAGGGAAGTGGGGCTCTCCTTTGACTCTGCCAGCCACTCGCCCTCACCCCCTGGGCTGCTCCTCCTTGCTGCGTGATGTAATGGCAATGATCTCTGTCCCTTGGACACGTTATCCTCCGTGTGTTTCTGCTGCCCTCTAGTGGCATCTGGGGAAATAGCTTGTGCCCAAAGAATCCTAGAATTGTAGAGCTGGAAGGGATCCCGAAGGTCATCTAGTCCAACCCCCCTGCTAGGCAGGAATCTCAGACCTTTGATCATCTTGGTCGCCCTCCTCTGCACACCTTCCAGCTTGTCAACATCCTTCTTAAATGGAGGTGCCCAGAACTGGACACAGGATTCCACGTGGGGTCTAACCAAGGCAGAATAGAGTGGTTTGCTGGCATTTGGTTGCATAATGGTGGCAACCATCTGTAACAAACAACAACAACAACAACTTATTATTTATACCCCACCCATCTGGCTGGGTTTCCCCAGCCACTCTGGACGGCTTCCAACCGAATATTAAAAACAATACAACATCAGACATTAAAAACTTCCCTAAACAGGACCGCCTTCAGTTGTCTTTTAAAAGTAAAATAGTTGTTTATTGCCTTTGAAGGCAGGATTGCTGCTGCCATGTGGGAAGCGTCCTCATGAGCAACTACAGCATGGGCCAGTCCAGCCCGTAGCTGTCAAATTGCAGATTTGAAAATAAGGGACCAGCAGCCTCGAAAAGAAGGGATCAGCAGCTAAAATAAGGGATTTTGGCTTAGCTTATACAGAAACCCGCCACTGATGGAGCCATGCGGCTTTGGCTCACACTGACTGTATTTTGC